ACTCTGCACTGGCGCCAGGAAGGGCATCCGGCCATTAAATCACTGCTAGCTCCATACAGTTGCCCAGACTCCACCCCACAAGGGATTATGGAGTCATTAAAAGAAGATGATGATGATTCTAGCCATTGTCTATCTGCTGCAGGTTGACGGCCTCTTGTTTCCAACCAATATGGTCCTGAGCTTTCTTTTGCCAATTGGGCCCACCATACTTGCTGATGGCGTCGATCCATCTTGTTTTAGATCTCTTTCGTGGATGCTTTTTATCCCCTGCCATCAGTTCTTCTTGCTATGTGACCAGTCCATTTCCATTTCAGTTCTTTAATTCTCTTCATGATATCATATACTTTCATTTGTTCTCTAATCCATGTGCACATGGAATAGAACATTAATTAATATACAGTATATACCATGTTTTCCCAAAAATAAGACATCCCCTGATAATAAGCACAATCGGGCTTTTGAGTGCATGCGTGAAAATAAGCCCCTCCCTGAAAATAAACCCTCTCTGAAAATAAGCCCTCCCCGAAAATAAGCCCTCCTTGAAAATATTTAAATGCATGTGCAGTCAGTCTCCGCTATTTCTTCTGGTTAGGGTTAAGGAGACAGAGCTGGAAATCAGGTAAGATGGCAAGAGGGGCCCCGTCTTACTCCACGCGCCCAAAATAATAAGACCTCCCCGAAAATAAGGCCAAGCGCTTATTTCGGGTTCAAAAAAAAATATACGGCAGGGTCTTATTTTCGGGGAAAAAAGGTAGAAAGCTCAACATTGCATGTCTCAACTTTAGATGTAAGCAAAACTCTATTTAAAAGGCATAAAGTGGACCCAGTATCCTAGTATGAAGAAAAGTTAGTTTCGCATCACAAAGAAGGATCACTTCTCCTTTTAAAAAGATCTCACAGATACCCCTTACTCTAGAGTAACTGTAGGGAAAGAGCTTACAGACCATGTTAACTATAAACAAATCCAGATTTAGCAAATATATAGCAATCCCAATATTCTAATAAAATGCAAAAAACCCTAAAATTTAAAATAACAAAGAGGGATAGTTTTACCTATAAAAAGAACAAGTTCACAAAACTTCCTTATACAAAGCCAGTTTAAAAGTTTGTAGGGGAAAAAAACTAAAACACCATATTCAGTGAATCAAATAAACAATATTTTTCCACTCCAGGTACCAGCAAATCCAGAAAGAACCACCCCAAATGGGCAACATTTTAACCTTGAGCAAATAAACCAACTTTGTATTCTTTATTTAATGTTTTTTTTAAAAACTTTCTTTTTAGTCCATTCAGATGGTTGTTGATCCTCGACACAAATTTTTTCAATGCTTCAAACAGCCTCTTTTGCATGTCCAGCAAAAAGAAATTGTTCCAGTTGCTGATCTCATTTTATGTTTTTCTTAATTTTTAAAGCCTCATCTAATTTTTTCCTTTATATCGGATGACATGTTCTCATTCAAATGTTCGTGTTTTCTCGGGTAGATTTTGTTGCATATCTTTTTCTGTACATCTTTTGGGAACAGACTGTTTCCAAGAAGATGCAACATGATTGATATAATTGGTTCAAAGTCCTGGCACAATTCCCAATGCAGTTCATCAAAGATATCTTTGAAAGCCATAATAAGTTACTTGTCTTGTTATGTCTCCAATATAAGACACAGTTTTTCTTTCATGGAAGCATGAATTTGTTCTTTAAGAATTTCAATGTCTTAATATTCAAAATCCAATATTCAGACATTTTTAAGCCACTAATCCGTTTAAAACTTTGTGCAGCCAAAGCCTTATCTTGTTTTTTGCTGTAATTATTAAAAATGATAAAAGATACATCCTTTTCTTATATTAAGGATTGAAGGCACTCATCCAATGTTTGCAATCTTGTCACTTTGTAGGTGTCTAAACTGCTTTGAAACAGTTCATAGGCAATTTCCAAAAGAGGTGTGCAAAGTTAGCATCCTTTAAAAGGCTCTGTTTGCGGGTGGAGCGATTATGGTGAATTCCCTCATCTTCCAATCCTCCCTCCTTCTGGATTCTTCTTATGAGAAGCAACTGAAGAGATCAGCTTGGTTGATCTCACATGCTCTCTTTGTCCATAGAGGGTTGAAGGAGCTGATCTGCTCATCAGCTCTCTGTTTGCGGCTGAAAATATTGGCTCCAGTTTTCACGGAGCTGTCTTCCATCTGCCATCTTCTCCAGAAATCTCCCTGGCATCAAGCTGTTAAGAGTGATTGCACCCACTGTGTTCTGCTTGAAGACTGTGTGAGCATTGGGTATTCTTTGGCAGGAATTAGGGACAAGAAGATGGAACTGGAGGAGGAAAGATATCAAGGATCCAGTGGTGGGATTCAGCCGGTTCGGACCGGTTTGCACGAACCGGTAGTTACGGCCAGCGGCTGGGCCCGCCTACCTACCCCAGCACTATCCTGTCTGCATAATCGGCATGGTTTTGACACAGCACGCATGTGCGTAAGGCACATGCGCAAGCGAAGCTATCTGGATCGTCCGATTCGGTAGCGATGGCGGCAGGTGGTTTGGAGAACCGGTAGCAAAAATCCCTCCCCACCCCCAACATGCCCAGCTGAGCCGCACGATCATCAGAGGCTTTTTTTTTTTAACTTTTAAAAGCATTTTTTCTACAACCTCTTCAGCCAAAAAAATGCTTTTAAAAGTTAAAAAAAAAAAGCCTCTGACGATCAGGCGACTCAGCTGGGATCGTCAGAGCCTTTTAAAAGCAATTTTTCTACAACCTCTTCGGCCAAAGAGATTGTAAAACAAATACTTTTAAAAGGTAAAAAAAAGCCTCTGACGATCCCTGCGCGATCGTCAGAGGCTCTTTTTTTTTTTACTTTTAAAAGCAATGCTTTTAAAAGTAAAAAAAAAGATCGCGCGCCACAGCTGATCACCCCCCTCTTCGCACACTGTTCTATTTACCGCATGCCTCCTTTTGGCGTGCACTGCGTGCTCACACATCACATTTGGTGTCTGGTGTGTACTGTACATGTGCAGCCAGCGAACCGGTAGTAAACCAGTTCAGATTTCACCACTGTGGAACTGGGTATGTCCAGTCCCCTAATCATCTTTGTTGCTCTTCGCTGCACTCTTTCTAGAGTCTCAACATCTTTTTTACATCATGGCGATGTAAGGACCAAAATAGTTCAAATGCCTTTTAAGCAAAATGCACCCCCAGCCATCTTCTTGGAAGCCAAATCCGTTTTAAAAACGACAAACCAAAAATCTAACTGGGAAAAAAAGGCTACTCTCCCGTTTGATCAAACGGAAAAGGATTTTGATTTTTTTTTTAATTCCCCCAGATTGTGAAACAAAGCGAAAAAGAACATCTGTGATTTCTTGTTGCATTTTGGAAGCAGCAACTCCAGTCTCTTTTCCTTTTTCCCCATTTCCTTTCTCCATTTATTCAGGCAACACGCTGAGAAGTAAATAAGCTATTAAGCAGACCAACAAGGCTGTCCAAAGGTACAAGGGCAGCTGCAACATTTTTCTGGCTGTTCTTTTCCTCATCAGCCCTGGGATCTCCTGCAATGCCAGAAGAGTAAAAAAAAAAAAAAAAAAAAAAGTCCAATTCTATATAACATCAGAAGCAAGTGGGGGAAAACCAATAAGCCTTTGGACCTTAGCTTAGGCTTCTGACAAGCCTTTGGGTGATGGGCAATGACTGGTGGAAGGACGCAATGTATTGAAAGAGGATATCCCAAAGGTGCTTTTTCAAGAGGTACCTGGACTTCCTTTGTTTTTCCTTGAAGATGTTTTGCTTCTCATCCAAGAAGCTTCTTCAGCTCTGACTGGATGGTGGGGAAATGGAAGGATTTATACTCCTTGCAGGCAGCTGGTCGTTTGCATTCTTTTAGAGAGTCGTTGGAGGTTTATCTGTGCCCTCAGAGTCACCTGAGTAGTGCAAATGGGTGCGGAGCCTTCTTGGAACCGTTGAAAGGACCGTTTTGTAGCCTATTGATGTCGTATCCCTCCGCCTCTGTTGAGAGAGGGCTTGGTTGACAGAGGAGGAGGGATACAGTACCACCGTCGCACACTTAAAACGTTTTTATTTCATCAAGCTGGCCTGGCCTAAATCTTCTCCTTTTTAAATTTAAATTTTAAACATAAATTTTAATCTGTTTAATTATGGGGTATTTTAAAATTCAGCCTAAATTATTTAATTCGTTTTAATTTATTTTAAATTTTGTATTTCTGTGTTTTATCCTCTGGTTGTTCACCGCCCTGAGTCCTTCGGGAGAAGGGCGGTATAGAAATTTAATAAAATAAAATATTCAGCAGGTTCTGACCAGTTCTGGAGAACCAGTAGTGGAAATTTTGTGTAGTTCAGAGAACCGGTAAATACCACCTCTGGCTGGCCCCGCCCCCATCTATTCTCTGCCTCCCGAGTTCCAGCTAATTGGGAGGAAATGGGGATTTTGCAGTAACCTTTTCCTGGAGTGGGGAAGGAATGGAGATTTTACAGTATCCTTCCCCTGCCACGCCCGCCAAGCCATGCCATGCCCACCAAACCACGCCTACAGAACCGGTAGTAAAAAAAAAATTGAATCCCACCACTGGATACCACCTTGTTTACAACACAGTCCTTTCAGCAGTTCCAAGAAGGCTCCACGCCCATTTGCACTACGCAGATGACCCTGAGGACACAGATAAACCTCCAAGTGGCCTCAACGACTCTCTAAAAGGATGCAAACGATCAGCTGTCTGCAAGGAGTATAAATCCTTCCATCTCCCCACCATCCAGTCAGAGCTGAAGAAGCTTCTTGGATGAGAAGCAAAACATCTTCAAAGAAAAAACAAGAGAGCCTAGTTGCCTCTTGAAAAAGCACTGTGGGGACAGCCATGACCTGAATGTCTGAGAATCTCCACAGACATTGAAAGAAGCTAGCGGCCAAAGTAGCATTGGTATTTAATTTGGGGCACTTTGCAGTAAAACTATGTCTCTGCTTCTCTACATTACAAAAAGTCAAGAACGGTGTTTTGTTGTTTTTTACCTTAAACGATTCCAAGAATCCACCATGTCCACCATTCTCCAGCTTGTCTTCCTCGGATCCTAGGCCCAACATCAGCTGCGTGTGGACGTGGAGTTCATCGTGCAAGTTGTCCAACAAGGCCGCCCGCGTTCGATCCTAGAAGCAATGTTTATCAGGTTCTAAAATGGCCTTGCAGTTTTGAACTAAAAAGGCTAAAAAGGGATTGGGTCATTTTTTCTCAGCCTTGGTAGCTTGAAGGTGTGTAGACTTCAACTCCCGGAACTCCCATGCTGGCTGGGGAATTCTGGGAGATGAAGTCCATTCATCTTAAAGTTATTGAAGTTTATAATCACTATTTAAGAATCACTGTTTTATGATGTTTTGCCCAAATCCAACATTTACTTCCAGTTTTCGGCAAAACCACCCCAAAATGAACAATTGGTTCACTTAACAACCACAGTGTTTGCTTAATGATTACTGCAAAAAAAAAAGGTCATAAAATTGAGTTGCAACCATCATGACATACAACCATAATGCAGGCTCCATTATGTTCATAAGTCCAGGACTACCTGTAATTATGAGTTGAGTGCCTGGCTTTTCTTATATTTATTTCATTTCATTCTTTTCCTCCTTATTGGTTTTATTGTTTGTCTTTTTCACACCAATATCCGCCACCTAGAGTTGTGTGTGCTACTATGGAGGGCTTTATGCATCTTTTAAATAAATAAAAATAGTATGTGGACGATGTTGCGACACACGTCTCAAAGGTGCAAAGGGAAGGGAGGGGGGGAAGGAGGGAGGGAGGGAGAGAGGAGAGAGAGAAAGAAAGGGAAGGAGGTGGAAGGAGAGAAGAAGGAAGAAGCAGGGGGTTGGACTAGAAAACCTCCAAGGTCCCTTCCAACTCTGTTATTCTATTCTATTCTATTCTATTCTATTCTATTCTATTCTATTCTATTCTATTCTATTCTATTCTATTCTATTCCATTCCATTCCATTCCATTCCATTCCATTCCCTTCCCTTCCCTTCCCTTCCACTCCACTCCACTCCACTCCACTCCACTCCATCATATTGACCATTTCATACATAGAACAAAGAATAATAGTGTAGGAAGGGACCTTGGAGGTCTTCTAGTCCAACCCCCTGCTCAGGTGTGAAGCTTACATTATAAAGGATGCAATATGTTTTTGGCATCTGCCTCCTTTTGACTCCCTTTGTATTGAAGCTTTCCTTCCTTCCTTCCTTCCTTCCTTCCTTCCTTCCTTCCTTCCTTCCTTCCTTCCTTCCTTCCTTCCTCCCTCCCTCCCTCCCTCCCTCCCTCCCTCCCTCCCTTCCTTTCTAGTTTTTGACACGGTCACAGCTTCTGTGGGATGCCTGGTTCACCTGGGAGATTTGAGTGGTAATAGAGATCAGTTCTCGGAAATAGAAATAGAATTTTAAAAAAAAGTAAAAAAAAAGTGAGCACACGCCCGAGGTAGCTGAACATTTGCAAATGCGGCTCTGCTTTAATTGGCTTTAAGATAAATTTCCCTTCAAGTTGAGCTCAACCCCGGATGACTTCATAGAGATGGCCATATTGTTTTCTCAGCAGGAAGCCTGTAATTAATAGAGCTGTGAGCTCTGATCTATTGATTAAACAAGATTTAATCCGCCCAAAGACTTCTGCATGAATCAGCAGGGGAGGCTTTTGATCACGGAAAGCCATTTTAACTGGGGAGCCTGGAAAGGCAACCCCTCCTGTTGTGCTACAGCAGGGGAAGGGGCTAGAGTTGCCCACTCCTGAGTTGTAGTGCTCGTTTAACAGCGGTGTGTCTCAGAATGCCAGAATTTTTCGATTAAACAATTCCAGTGACGTGCGGCAAACTTTGCACGAACAACTTTTCACATGAAGGTATTTCCTATTACAAACAATTGCATGTGCACCAGTACAGTCTAGAGCCGTGATGGCGAACCTATGGCACGCGTGCCGGAAGTGGCATGCAGAGCCATCTCTCCAGGCACGTGAGCCTTCGTCCATTGCTCTTCTGGGTTCTGGTGCACCGGCCAGCTGGTCTTCACAGACATGGGAGCGCTGGAAACCGAAGAGCAGCCGCCTCGTGCACATGTGCGTGCTCGGAATATGATCTTCCGCTTTCCGGCACACGATCCGCGCCAGCCACCTGGTCTTCTGGTTTCTGGAGCGCATGCGTGCATGAAGATCAGCTGGCCGGCACGCATGCGCTTGCTGGAAAGTGGAAGATCATTTTCCCGGCGTGCACATGTGCCCTGGGAGGCTGCTCTTCCAGTTTCCGGCATGTGCATGTGCACCGGCCAACTGGTCTTCGTGTGTGCATGCACGCCCGAAACTGGAAGACCAGGAGGCTGGCGTGCACGCGTGCACTGGAAAATGGAAGATCATCTTCCTGACGTGCACATGCGCACCAGGCGGGTGCTGTTCTGGTTTCCTGCACGTACATGTGCATGCGCGCTTCTCTTTTCGACACTTGGTGTTGAAAAGGTTTGCCAACACTAGTCTAGAGTTTAGGGTGTTGGGGCAGCACCGTGGAGACTCCAGAGTCGGTCCATGCTCAGCGATGGAAATTCTCTGGATGACCTTGGGCTAGTCACTCCCTCTTAGCCCAACGTACGTATATTAAAGGGGAGGGGGGAAACAGGAGAAGGGACTAATAGGTATGCTGAATTGAGTTCCTAGATCTAAGAAACAAGTTGAAGTTTTGTTTGGGTGAGAGAGTGAAGTTATTAAGAATATGAAGTGGTCAAATGATTCCTCTCTTCCTCCTCCTTCTCTCCTTCCACCCTCCTTCCTTCCTTTCCTCCTCCTTCCTTTTCTTCCTCCCTCTCATCTCTCTCCTTCCTTCCTTTCTTTCCTTCCTTCCTTCCTTCCTTCCTTCCTTCCCTCTTCCCTCCCTCCTTCCCTCCCTCTTTCCTTCCTTCCTCCTTCCCACCTTCCTTCCTTCCTTCCTTCCTTCCTTCCTTCCTTCCTTCCTTCCTTCCCTCCCTCCCTCCCTCCCTCCCTCCCTCCCTCCCTGCATTGTTTCTTTGCAGGAATGTCTGCCCTCAGCAGCAGTTCCTGAAAGAACATGAGACCGCAAGAAGTCGCATAAGTGCATGGGCGTTCTATAGATTGCAGATTGACCCTCTGTCGTGCTAATGCTACACAACAGGGACTTTTGGCTATTCTAAGCCAGGGGTCTTCTAAAATGCCTTTCCATAAAGATTAATGGAGCAATCCAGGGGTGGGCTGCTGGGGGTGCGCAGGGTTTCGGGAGAACCTCTAGCTAAGATTCTGTGCAGTTCGGAGAAGCCCCAAATCCCACTCCTGGCTGGCCCCGCCCACCCCTCCCCTCCCGGGAGTCCCCACACGGCCTGTTTTGAATACAAGTAAGTGCAGGGCATGCGCAGAGGCTCAGTGAGGGTGAAAAACGGGCCTACCGGAAGTTTGGGAAGGCCAGAAATGGGCCCATTTCTGGCCTCCAGTGGGCCTCCAGAGCCTGGGGAGGCTGTTTTCTTGGGGAGGAAAGCCTCCAGAGCCCGGGGAGGGCAAAAATTCCCCCCCCTCCATTGCCATGGTGCCGGAGGCCCACTAGACCATGCCCACCATGGCCACGCCACCCAGCAACCGGGCAGAGAACCCCTTGCTAAAGTTTTTGAAGCCCACCCTGGAGCAATCTGTTTCTGGTCCATTCAGTGTTGTATGGTTCAGTATAAGATTATTTCATCAGATATATAATATATACATACGCATTCACAAACAGCTTTTAATCTGTTTTTCAATACATTCTAAAAGGTATTGTAAATATATCCCTAAACTTCTTTTGTCCAAATTCCATATATGCACTTGCTTTTCTTTTTTTTCTAACCTGGAACTCTGTTGCAAAATTCAGAGAGATGCAAGAATTGAAACACGAGGTTTTTCATCCATACCACGATGCAGAAATTGTGAATTACTTCACAAAAACTGCAGAATTCATAGCAAGGCAATGTTACAAGCCTCTCTGACCTGGTGTTTGGCTTCAAAGAGTCCTTTTAAAATGTGACTGCCAATCTCTGATATCCTGAAGCAAAATGTAATTGGGCTGAGCAGGTTGTCCTATTTACCTCCTCAAGGGCAACCCCATTTTTTTCTTTACCTCAAGTTTGGCAAACTTGTCTGACTTGCAGCAGGCATTTTCTGCGTTGATCAGCTTGGTGAGAAGAAACTCTCGGAATTCTGCATTCTAAGAAATGAAAAAAAAAGCAGGATAGCACTGTAATGACCCAGTTCATTGGGTGCGACTTCAGGGAATCATCAACACATCTTCCAAAACTCCAAGATGATGGCTGGCCAATGAACTTGAGCCAGAAATGTATTCCAAAGAATAATCTCCCCTGCATCAAGTAGATGTAAAAAAAGATGTTGAGACTCTAGAAAGAGTGCAGAGAAGAGCTACAAAGATGATTAGGGGACTGGAGGCTAAAACATATGAAGAACGGTTGCAGGAACTGGGTATGTCTAGTTTAATGAAAAGAAGGACTAGGGGAGACATGATAGCAGTGTTCCAATATCTCAGGGGTTGCCACAAAGAAGAGGGAGTCAAGCTATTCTCCAAAGCACCTGAGGGTAGGACAAGAAGCAATGGGTGGAAACTAATCAAGGAGAGAAACAACTTAGAACTAAGGAGAAATTTCCTGACAGTTAGAACAATTAATCAGTGGAACAACTTGTCTCCAGAAGTTGTGAATGCTCCAACATTGGAAGTTTTTAAGAAGAGACTGGATAACCATTTGTCTGAAGTGGTGTAGGGTTTCCTGCCTAGGCAGGGGGTTGGACTAGAAGACCTCCAAGGTCCCTTCCAACTCTGTTATTCTATTCTATTCTACCTTATTGACCATTTCCTACAGAGAACATAGAATAATAGGGTTGGAAGGGACCTTGGAGGTCTTCTAGTCCAACCCCCTGCTCAGGCAAGAGACCCTGTACTATTCCAGACAAATGGTTGTCCAGTCTCCTCTTGAAAACGTCCATTGCTGGAGCATTCACAACTTCCAGAGGTAAGCCGTTCCACTGATTAATTGTTCTATCAGGAAGTTTCTTCTTAGTTCTAGGTTAAATCTCTCTTTAATTATCTTCCATGTTACTTCTTGTCCTGCCCTCAGGTGCTTTGGAGAATAGGTTGACACCCCCACCTTTCCTTGACAGTCCCTCAAATACTGAAAGATTGCTATCATGTTACTCGTAGTTCTTCTCTTCGTTAGAGTACTTTTGACTAGATATACCTAGTTCCCTCAGTCGTTCTTCGTATGGTTTACCCTCCAGATCCCTTATCAACTTTGTTGCTCTTCTCTGCACTCTTTCTATGTTCTCAGTTATCTTTTCTGTACTATGGTGACCACAGTGGTGGGATTCAAATAATTTAACAACCGGTTCTTCGCCCTAATGACCGGATGGTGGGCGTGGCCATGGTGGGCATGGCCAGGGGGTGTGGCAGGCAGCACTCAGCCTCCTGCACCCCCGTGGGAGCAAAAACAGACCATGCGGGCCACACAGCCCCCTCGGGCCCCGTTTTGGGCCTAGTAGGCCTCCCTGCAGCCTACTGGGAGCAAAAATGGGCCACGGGGGGGGGCACCACAGCCCCCCGCATCGTTTTCGTCAAAGTAGGCTTCCTTGCACTTACCTGGGAGCCAAAACGGGGCACGTGGGGACTTCTGGAAGGGGCGGGGAGGGGAGGGGCCACCCAGCAATTTAACAAGTGGTTCGGCCAAAGTGGTGCGAACCAGTTGAATCCCACCACTGGGTGACCAGAACTAGAGGCAGCACTCCAAGTGTTCTCTCACTAGTGCAGTATAGAGCAGAACTATCACCTCACGTGATCTTGAAACTATCCCTCTGTTGATGCAACAGGAATATTGAATCTCTGGCTGACTGATCCCTTAAAGAGTATTTTTGGTTTTAAAAAAAAAAAAACACAAAAAATTTAAAAATAAAAAGCACCCACACTTTAGACCTGCCTGACATCTTTGCCTAACCAGTCACATTTCATGTAATCTTAGGAACTCAATAATAATTGAAAGTAATTGACAATGATGATGATATCCCCTGAAGGTAAAAGAATAATAAAACAATGATTTGTAATCTGCAACAATTGGGGTCCTACGATAAACTAAAACAAAAATCAATGCTCTCAGTTTGGTTTAGTGCAATACAGAAATCCAATCTACGTCATGAAATTGGTGTCATTTTAAGTCCCTTTTTGGAGGTGTGGAGGGAGATTACTCTACAGAGTAATATGGTGGCAAAGCCTTAGTAATTAATTGAGAAGTAGAAATGCTGTTATATTGGTAAAACTTCCAAAAATAGTAATAGCACTTAGATTTATATACTGCCTCACAGTGTTTTACAGCCCTCTCTATGCGGTTTACGGAGTCGGCCTATTGCCCCCAACAATTTGGGTCCTCATTTTACCCACCTCAGAAGGATGGAAGGCTGAGTCAACCTTGAGCCCGGTGAGACCCAAACTGCCAAACTACCGGCAGCCGGTGATCAGCAGAAGTAGCCTGTAGTACTGCACTCTAATCACTGCGCCACCGCGGCTCTTAGATTTAAATCAATCTATTTAATACAACCCCCTGCCCCAGATCTCCCAAATTGCTTCCCATAAGAACCAAACAAACCTTGTTTTAGGGTTAGGGTTGGGTCTTACTTTTTGAAATACAGGTGGGCTTGGCAGTGAAGGACCAAAAGATGGGACATCTTCTCGTGCTGTGACAGCTACCTATCCAAAACAAGGAAAGAGAAAAGGCATTTGAGCTTATGAGATTTGCACAAAGGCGACTTGTAAAAGAACCCAATGTAAATACAGTTATTGTACAAAGGTCTCTCTGATTAAATTTCTGTTTTTCTCACTCTTGGCCAGCCATATAATTCTTGAAAGTCCTGAGGGGGTGTCTTTTTAATGGCTTTGAAGAAGGTAAGATTATCTCTGAATATGGAGATTCTGTCGTAATGAGGACATCCAGGGTCTACAATAGTGGCCAAAATTGTGGAAACCTTTTGGGAAAAGTGTATTTTTGAGGTTTGATGGCTAATAACACCACTTTCTTGGGGGAGGGGTGTTTCAAGATAATCTTATTCCACTGCTGGAATGGCCTGGGAATAGCCCAGACCTTAACCCAATTGAAAAACTATGGAGCCGACTAAAGAAACTTGTTAGTCAGAAGCGACCCAGCAATAAAGCCCAGTTAATAGAAGCAATCATTCGATCTTGGTTTCACATTATAACAGCTGCAGAACTAAAAGACTTGGTTCACTTCATGGGAAGACGTTGTAAGGCTGTAATTCATGCTAAAGGTTTCCCAACTAAGTATTAGCTGACATGGGGATAATTTTTGTATATCTCGTTTTTTCTATGGTGATAATTTTTGTATATCTTGTGTCAGACTTCGATGCTATCTCAAAATAAATGAATTTCCAAACTGCCAATCTTTAAGGAAATCTTTTCTTTAATTGAGCAGCCACCGGATCATGACTCGATGTGGACAAGACTGACCTTTTGCCCCCCAATCCCTCCCTTTCCGATCCCCAAATCTCTGCTTCTCATTGGCTATCTTCCAAGTCATTCTTCAGACTTCTTGTCTCGTCATTTCCCAGGAATGTCTCCCCCCTTCATTTCCATGACAACCCGACTTCAAAGGGATTTAGCAGGCAAAAGTTCAGAGATTATCTCTCTCTCTCCTCTGCTCTCTATGCCAGCGTCGAAGCGCTGACATCTTGTTTTTTTCTACAGGTTTCACTTTTCTTCTTTATACTGTAACTGCTATTCTAATAGCAAATCCTTCATTACTGTTACTGCATTACATTCTTGATTAAATTATCTTTCCATTGATATATAATTTTATGGTACTACTCCAAAAAAAAAAAAAAAAGTGGTGTTATTAGCTAGTTTTAGAAAACACACTTTTCCCAAAAGATGTCCACAATTTTGGCCACTACTGCAAGAAAACCTTTCTCAACTCTTCAATCTACAAATGTGAAATAGAAACATGAAATATAACTATGAACCCTAGAATTCCGCGCCAGCAACGCTGATGTTCCTCCTGGCAGAGAACTATGGGGAAAGTTGCAGATTGTAGGAACCAGATTGGAGAAAAATCTCCACCTTTTAAGGCTAACGAATGTTATTATGAGGCATACATTTTTATGAACTGTAGCTCACCAGGGTGGGAGGTGTTATTTATTTTTCAAACTTATAAAGCTGCCTATCGCACAAACCAAGCGATTCTTGTTAAGGTTAAGCAGATAAAGGTTCAAGGTGGACAGATTGCAAGTACTTCGCCCATTAACAATTGATATTGTGTTTGTTCAGGCCTTCTGAAATAGCCCAGGACATATTGATGTATGTATATTCAGCTGTCTCAGGGTCAACTGTGCGGGCATACTCCTGACTGCAGAATGATGACTTGTGATCTGTGAGTGTCCTGGGAGGTTAAATGCTCTTCAATTACTTTCTGATATCAAACTTGACCATTAATTATTTTTGCACAAAGCCTGGTGTCAAGTTTCGAGGTTGTCTCAAATAAATTGCATTTCAAACAAAGTCTTTGAAGAAAAACTCCTATTTATTAAGCACAATGTTCTAAAACCCGACTCCATCGAAGCCAACACTGACTTCCAGACCCAAAACCCTCCCTTTCTGTTCCCCACTCCCCTGCACTCATTGGCCATTTTCCAAGTCATTCTACCCCTAATCTACCGCTCCAGCTCAAAGGAATTTCCCCCCTCCTATCCCATCTCCTAGGGGATATTATCTCCAGGGAAAATAAGTAGGTGAAAAGTCCCTTTCCAGACGTCTCCACTTCTTCTTATGTCAGCACTAGAGTAAATGCAGCTTGAAGTGCTGACACCTGGCTTGTTTAGAGAATCCAGAGGGCCATTGCTATCACATTAGAAGAAAGGTACGTGAAGGTGACTCTAAATTTGTGTGTGAAATTGTTGGGGCCTGTGACGGTGCTGTTGGTGTAAATGCAGCAGTAAAACAGAGATCTGGGGTTCTTACATCAGAGGTGGGATTCTACCGGTTCGGGCCGGTTCAGGTGAACCGGTAGCTTCGACAAACAGCTGGGAGCGAACTGGTTCACCCCGACGATCAGATGGGCTCACCCACCCACCCGCGATATTTCCCTACCTTTATCTTCTCAGCTGATTCGCACGGCAGAGCAGATTGCCACGCCTCAGCTATGTTTCTCCTCAAAGTGAAGATTTCTTCAAACTGCGCGCACACACACAGCGAAGCACGCGATCACCGAACCAGTTGTTAAACCGGGAGGATCCCACCACTGCCTTACATGTCCTGGTTCCCATGTTAATGTCACTGTCCTATTGTTTCTGGGCTTGTGAGAATCTGCTTCCCTTGGGTGCTTGTTTGGTTGCAACTTTAGATAACAGTAACAGAGTTGGAAGGGACCTTGGAGGTCATCTAGTCCAGCCCCCTGCTCACTCAGGAGACCTATACTAGGGATCCGAACCGCTGAATTGCCAATCTTTCTCAACGATGAGTTCAGTGTCTTTGCCACTGAGCCACCTACTACCAAAGGGCCCACTGAGTTGTGTGCTGATTGTGGAAATTTTAGTCTCTCAAACTCTAATCCACCCAAATGGATGTCATCCACAAAACACACTAAACCACACACGCACACACCCCAAAATTCCTCTTCAAACTTAACATTAACCATGTTGTTGTGTGAATGCTTCAGCCAGAACTAACCCTAACACAGAGTTTCTTAATCTTGGCAAATTTAGGATGGGTGGACAGCAAGGCTGGCTGAGGTATGCTGGGAATTGAAATCGACCGATCTTAAAATTGCCAAGGTTGAGAAATACCACCGTAATAACCCATTGTGTTAACATAATCTTTTGTGTGAAAGGAAGCTATTGTGACTGTAATATTGCAACAAGGAAAATATTGGGACTACCCTTTCTTCCACTACAGCATCAAAGGCCAAAACAACTCAAAAAACCCAAGAATCAAATTCGTCAAGGTAGTGAGGAAAAAATTGGAAGCAGGTGGATAGTAGAAAAGATGATTCTAAATTAAATTAAATTAAATTAAATTAACTGCATATTTGAAAGGGCTGCCTTGGCAAGCAGCAGAATCTAGCCAGCCTTGACTGATTTAAACAAAATAGGCAGATCAAACCAGGTTACCACTTGGATAGGAGACCATTGCAAAAGCTCCAAAGTTATGGGTTAGATTGAGAAATTGGAAATTATTCCAGAATGGAGCAAGGGCTAATCACTGCCATAATCACTGCCAACAATGTAACCCAGATGTAAGTCATGAGGATTCAAGTGTTTCTGGAGACATTCTACTGATCCAGCTTAACTGATGTTGAAGTTCTTCCAAGGAGAACCTCTGGTTGGTGACGTCATTGAACACCTAGTGAGTTCTGCACATCTGGGCAGATGGCAAGATTTCTGGCAAGATGTCTGGGTCCATATGGAGGGCACTTACACTCAACATCTCCTCTCCCACTCCCAAAGGCAAAGAACATATAACGCTTTGAGGAGCAATACAAAAAACTAATATGAATAATCATATAATAATAATAGTGTAGCAGGGACATGGTGGCTCAGTGGCTAAGAGGTTGAGCTTGTCAATCGCAGGGTCAGCAGTTCAGCGGTTCAAATCCCTAGTGGCGCATAACGGGGGGAGCTCCTGTTACTTGTCCCAGCTTCTGCCAACCTAGCAGTTCGAAAGCACGTAAAAAAATGCAAGTAGAAAAATAGGGACCACCTTTGGTGGGAAGATAACAGTGTTCCGTGCACCTTTGGCATTTAGTCATGCCGGCCACATAACCATGGAGACATCTTTGGACCGCACTGGCTCTTCAGCTTTGAAACAGAGATGAGCACCGCCTCCTAGAGTCGGGAACAACTAGCACATATGTGCAAGGAGAACCTTTACCTTCACCTTTACCTTAATAGTGTAATAGTAATAGGCACCTTGGATGCAATCCCAAAACAACTGGATCAATACTTAAACACCATTGGCATTGACAAAATCACCATCAGTCAATTGCAAAAGGCAGCTCTACTAGGAACAGCTTCCATCCTGCAATGATACCTTTAACAAATCCACATATGCTTATCCGAGATTCTTGGGAAGGATTCTAGAGGTGGACAAAAATGCCAAATCCAGCCAGAACATCTGGCTGACTGAGCAACAAACCATAATATGTTACTTTAAATGAATGTTACAAAAGTCCAAAACGGGTTCGTAATTTCCATATTTCATAAGCCAACAAAATCACAACATTGCTATTAACATAATGATTATAATCCATCCAAACTGGAGAAAATATAATTCTTGCCTCTGAATATTCATTATTCTACTTTATCCGTACTGTTTTCCTAACCAAGCAATTAAAAAATTTCTTTCAAACCACAAATTGATTGTTAATTTTACATCTCTTATTTATGAATTGAACTGTGCAAGTCACTGTATGTTCCAGCCCAGTGGTAAAATCCTCCATGGGTTGCTACCGGTTCACTGCATACACATGTGCAGTGCGCACCAAATGCGTGCTTCGTGTGAAAAAAGGAGCCGTCTGGAGGTAAGTAAAACAGCGAGGGGGGGGACTTTTTTTTTTTTTACTACTGGTTCGCTGAACCAGTAGATTTTATCACTACCGGTTCGCCCAAACCGGTGCGAACCGGTAGGATTTCACCACTATTCCAGCCACTCTACAATGCAAATACAAAGGGATGCCTATTGACCAGAAAAATGCCCAAACTTCTCACATACAAGTAGTCCTCAACTTATGACTGGTTACTTAGCGATCAAAGTTACGGCAGACCTGAGAAGGTGGATTTACAACCTGGATTAGAAGTGGCAAAATTTAGGCCCCCTCTGTGATCATGTGAACAAACTTCAGATAACACGGCTGTATTTACAGTCATTTGCACCATCCCACCAACCCTTTTACAGAGAACCTGGGAGAGAGGGTCCCTTCTGAGGTTTTTTTCTCCATCCATTATTCAGCTGGAGGCTATGTCTTCTCTTATCTGTCTTTTCCCTAGCAGCATCTCTTCCTTCCATCTCCCAGGGTAAAAAGTGCAAAGAAGAGCAATTAAAATGATTAAAGGCCTGGAGACTAAAACATATGAAGAACAGTTGAAGGATTTGGGTTTGGCTAGTGGGGAGATGATAGCAGCGTTCCGATATCTCAGGAGTTCCCACAAAGAAGAGGGAGCTATTCTCCAAAGCACCTGAGGGCAAGACAAGAAACAATGGATGGAAACTAATCAAGGAGAGAAGCAACCTAGAACTAAGAAGAAATTTCCTGGCAGTTAGAACGATTAACCAGTGGAACAACTTGCCTCCAGAAGTTGTGGGTGCTTCATCACTGGAGGTTTTTAAGAAGAGACTGGACAGTCACTTGTCTGAAATGGTATAGGGTCTCCTGGGTGAGCAGGGGGCTGGACTAGAAGACCTCCAAGGTCCCCTCCAGCTCTATTCTGATTCTGATTCTGAAGATACAATGGCACTGAAAAAAGTGATTTTTGACCGTTTTTCACATTTACAACCGTTGCAGCATCCCCATGGTCACATGATCAAAATTCAGACACCTGGCAATTAGTTCATATTTATGACGATTGCAATGTCCTGGGATCACGTGATTACTTTTGCAATCTTCTGACATCCAGAGTCAATGGGGAAGCCAGATTCCCTTAACAACCATATTACTAACTTAACAACCGCGGTAATTCGCTAAACAATGGTGGCAAGACAGGTTGTAAAATGGAGTAAAACTCACTTAACAAATGTTTCACTTAGCAACAGGTATTAGGGGCGGTCATAACTGGGCATGGCTACTTTAGTGAAGAGAAGGAGCAGGGGAGACATGATAGCTGTGTTCCAATATTTGAGGGGCTGTCACAGAGAGGAGGGATCAATCTGTCTTCCAGAGCACCTGAAGGCCAGGCAAGGAATAATGGATGGAAACCGAACAAGGAGAGATTCAACCTGGAAATGAGGAGGAACTTTCTGACAGTGAGAACAATCAACCAATGGAACAGAAATTGCCTTCGGAAGTGGTGGGAGCTTCATCACTGGAAGCTTTCAAGAAGAGATTGGACTGCCATCTGTCAGGAATTGTGTACGGTTTCTTTCTTTCTTTCTTTCTTTTTTAATTTAATTTAATTTAATTTAATTTAATAACTTAATTTAATTTAATTTATTTAATTTAATTTAATTTAATTTAATTTAATTTAATTTAATTTAATATTTAATTTAATTTAATTTAATTTAATTTAATTTAATTTAATTTAATTTAATTTAATTTAATTTAATTTAATTTAATTTAATTTAATTTAATTAATTTAATTTAATTTAATTTTAATTTAATTTAATTTAATTTAATTTAATTTAATTTAATTTAATTTATATGCCGCCCCTCTTCGAAGACCCAGGGCGGCTCACAATACACTCAAAAAATCACTATAAAAAACACTTAAAAATTAAAAACATTAAAAACATTAAAACCCATTCCCACCATTCATGGCCGGATCTCGTCAGATTGCAAAGCGAGATCAACAGCCCCAGGCCTGCCGGAAAAGCCAGGTCTTTTCGGAAGGCTTGGGCAGGGGGTTGGACTAGATGACCTAGAAGGTCCCTTCCAACTCTATTAATCTGTTAAAATAACTCCGGGATTAGCCGTACACTTTTCTTTTTCCTTCCGATACGGGACAACAGGGTGGCAAAGCAACTGACTCACAATAATCTGCAAAGGCCAGAATGGGCATATAGCCCATTAAAGGCTGCTGGCCACCTGCTCTGCAACCTTCAGTCAAGCTTGATTTTGCTAAGGCTTCAAGGACAGATGTATGCTACCCGCCTCTGGGCATTTAATGACATTTCCTGCCAATGTGCAGATAGGCTAACAACAGTGCCGAGGGCACCAGCTGCTTCTCCAAGAATAAATAACGATTTTCACAAAAGCTTAGCAGGAACTCTTTATCTCTGGTCAAACAGGTACATTTGTCAAAGCCACCCAAGTGCTTATTTGTCAAGATGGAAAACAGATGTGGACACACACACACACACACACACACACACACACACACAAACCAAGGACACACAGATATTCTACTTTTCTCACCCACTTACTTTATAGGACGTATTATCCGTTTCTGGATTTTCTGCCTGGACGACAATATAGGCGTGCAGAAAATTCGAAGCAATCATATCCGGAACAAAGGGAGTGTTTTCTTCTTGGAATATAATAGCCACAATGTCGTTGCCAATGTGTCTTTTCCGCTGAAGCTGCGAAGGTTAAAAGAAAGAGACAAACACATCTCCAGGTGATAGTTCTTAAGTAGAAAAACATCCCAATTTTTACTCATCACTGCAGCGTTTTTCTAAGACTAATAGCAGGAAGATGAAGCACGCCTGGCCTAAAAATAGCAACAGCACTTAGACTTATATACCGCTTTCCAGTTCTTTTACAACCCTCTCTAAGTGGTTTATAGAGTCAGCATATTGCCCCCAACAATCTGGGTCCTCATTTTACCCACCTCGGAAGGATGGAAGGCTGATTCAACCTTGAGCCTGGTGAGAATCGAACTGCCAAATTGCAAGCATCCGGGAGTCAGCAGAAGCAGCCTGCAGTGCTGTACTTTAACCACTATGCCATCTTGGCTCTTCAGATGAGCCCCTCCCCCTTTTTGTACACACATCAACACAGAGAGAGAAGAAAGGGCTGCTTTCTCACAATATCCTAAAACAGTGCGAGCAGTTTTTTCTCCAAATATATTTTGGAGACCGCCTTGCGGGACCGCCTACTACCACCAATAGCCTCCCACCGGCCGGTACGCTCTCATAGAGAGGGGCTCCTCCGGGTGACGTCGGCCAAACAATGTCGACTGGCGGCCCCCAGGGGGAGAGCCTTCTCTGTGGGGGCACCTATTATCTGGAATGAGCTCCCCCCAGAGATACGGAGGATCCTGGATCTGCGCACCTTCCGCCGCGCTCTAAAGACCTTTTTATTTCACCAGGCGGGCCTGGCCTAACTTTCTCCCTCTTTTTAAACAATTTTAATATTTTAATATTTTTAATATCTTTTAATCCTCAAAGTTTAAATCTGTTTTAAATTGATTGGGGTTTTAATCTGTCTGGGCCAAACTTTTTAATTCGATTTTATTTCTGTTTTTAAATTTTGTATGTATGTATTTTATTGTTGGCTGTTCACCGCCCTGAGTCCTTCGGGAGTAGGGCGGTATACAAATCAAATAAAAGAAAAGATAAAAGATACTGTTTCCATCTTCCCCTTACAATAATAAGAGGCTCCACAATGGTCTGAGAATCAGGGTCTCCACTAGATAATGGACAGTCAAGATGAAATTAAATTAATCAATTCAATTTAGCAAACCCCCAAATCAGTGACCCAGATCTAATCCACATATCAAAGGATAAGGTCTGCAAACACAGAGTGAATTAAATTAGGTCTTCCAGAGGAACTGTATGTTCACAAGAATAAACATACCTCAGAGGTGGTATTCAGCAGGTTCTGACCAGTTCTGGAGAACCGGTAGCGGAAATTTTGAGTAGTTCGGAGGACCGGTAATAAAAATTCTGACTGGCCCTGCCCCCATCTATTCTCTGCCTCCCGAGTCCCAGCTGATTGGGAGGGAATGGGGATTTTGCAATAACCTTTCCCTGGAGTGGGATGGGAATGGAGATTTTGCAGTATCCTTCCCCTGCCACGCCCACCAAGCCACACCCACAGAACCGGTAGTAAAAATTTTTAAAACCCACCATTGCCACAAACCATGCAGTCCTGTCCACCATTAAAAACCATCTTTCCAATCAACCACCATGTTTCCAGTGTGTTTCTCACCACCTGGAACTGAATCCAGATGTACATTTCTTCCAACAGAGTTAAGGCTCTGTCTTATTTGGGAGAAGTGCAGATCTGGCCAGCAAGAACAGCCCTCAGCAACCCAAGTGAAGTGCACAAAAATATGCATATTTTTAGGTATGCGTATGAATGTTTGGGTTTATAATTTTATCTGGGAATGTGTTGTTTAAAACAGTGCCATTATCAAAAGGAATTGTGTATGGAAATGCCCACGAATTTGCATAAAGACTTGTTTTAACAAATGATGCAGAAATGGAGCATAAAACCTACAGTTTTAGAAAATGAGGATGAAAAATATATTTTTTTAAAAAAAAAACCCACCAAAATGGCAAGCTTCCGTTAAAGGAAATTCTGTTTTTTAAAAAAATAAAAGCAAAAACAAACATCCATCTGTCTGGGCAACTTCCCTGAAGAGGTGATTCAATCACACCGGCCGAAAGCAATTCACACCTTCCCTTCCACGGCCAGTTACACAATGTTCACTTCACCACTTCATCCCTTGTGCTGCCCTGATATTATATCTCGAAAAAGAAAGGTCAGGTCTCGCTTACCTGCTGGGCATCCCCCTCTGTGAAGGGAAGCTTGGTAGAAACGTGGAACATAATCTCTCGGTCCCTGAACACCGTGTAGACAGATTCTGTGCCTGTCTGGGCATGAGTCACATCCAGGCCACCTCGAAAGCTGTAAAGGAACCAGAACAAGATAGGAGACCTTTGGTACTAGGGAAGAGGGAGGGAGGGAGGGAGGGGAGAAAGAGAGGGAGAGAGAGAAAAAGAGAGGGAGGGAGAAATAGGGAGAGATGGAGGGAGGGAGAAAGAGGGAGAACGAGAGGGAGAAAGAGAGAGAGAGAGGGAGAAAGAGAAGGAAGAGGAAGGGAGGGAGAGAGGGAGGGAGGGAGGGAGAAAGAGAGGGAGAAAGAGAGGGAGGGAGGGAGAAAGAAAGGGAGGGAGGGAGGAAGAGAGAAAGAAAGAGAGAGAGAGAGAAAGAGAGAGAGGGAAGGGAGGGAAGGAAGGAAGGGAGGAGGGAGGGAGGGAGGGAGGGAGGAAGGAGCCATCTGAATGATTAATAGTTTAATTTACCCCTTGAAATCCTGTAGTGTAATGGTTTCTCCCAACAAGTTCAAGAAGTTTTTGAAGGCAGGGCTTTCTTCATTGTTCCCAAACAATTCTTCTTCCTGTGTCTGGAAAGATAAAGCAATTCCAAACAAAAATCACAAAACTCCTCTTTATTTTGAAACTACCAGAAGCAAAACTACATTTTGGAAAAGATTATTCCTATTATGGTGAGAGATAATCAACTTCCTCTCTAAATAACTGTTGTCACTAACTGTTGAGAGAGAGAGAGAGAGACAGCCAGACAGCCAGAGACAGAGACAGAGACAGAGACAGACAGAGACAGAGACAAAGGGACAGACAGAGACAGAGAACAGAGAGAGACAGAGAGACAGACGGAGAGGCAGAGACAGAGAGACAGAGAGACAGAGACAAAGAGACAGAGAGAGAGACAGAGAGAGAGACAGAGGGAGACAGAGACAGACAGAGAGACAGAGAGACAGACAGAGACAGACAGAGAGGGAGAGAGAGAGAGGGAGAGAGACAGACACAGAGAAAGAGAGAGGGGGAGAGAGGGAGAGACAGAGAGACAGAGACAGACAGACAGAGACAGACAGAGAGAGAGAGGGAGGGAGAGAGAGACAGACAGAGAGAGAGACAGAGACAGAGAGACAGACAGATAGAGAGATATGTTCAGAAGGGTGATTATTCTTTTTTGCAACAGCATAGGTGGAGCTGGATCAAGAAATTCTCCAAGCTCTTTTTTATTGGCTCTTGTTTATTCTTTTATTGCTTTTTAAAATAATGACCAAAAAACAGACAACAACCATAAAGATAAAAATGTACACATTGTCAAATAAATATAAGGCACATAAAAAGTGGCTTTTAAAAAGATGGGAAAAAACCCAACAAAGAAAAAAAGTATCATTTTGGCAGTATAGTTACAATTCTATATAGTTATCTAATGCAATTATTCACACACACACACATATACGTGTGTGTGTGTGTGTAAACATTTATAGTATATAATAATCATTCTTTTAACCGCAGAATTGTTGAACTCCACACATTTAAAAGTTGCTGTGATTGAGAAAAGCTTCTCTGAACTGCCAAATTACCATCAGACCCACCGAAATATTATTGCTCCAATAAAATAGTCACTCACTTGCTTAAACTTCTGGTAAATCACCCCAAATTTGAACGTGTTGTTAAGTTCATGTTCATCGTAGGATACGATCAGTTGTGATGCCTGAAATAGGAGAAGGAAGGAGGAGGAAGTCACAGAATAATTTTTAAAGAAAGAAATTACTTTAATGAGTTTGGGAAATCTCTCTCTCTCTCTCTCTCTCTCTCTCTCTCTCTCTGTCTGTCTCCCTCCCTCTCTCATTTGTGGGAAGTTGCAGACAAAACCAAAAGTCATAGTTTATAAGTAGTCCTCAACTTACAATCATTCATTTAGTGACTGTTCAAAGGTACAGTGGCACTGAAAAAGGGGACTTACAACCAATCCTCACACTTACGACCATTAAGCATCTCTATGGCCACGTGATCAAAATGTGGGCTCTTGGCAACCAAAATGTATTTACAACACTTGTGGCATCCCAGGGTCACGTGATCCCCATTTATGACCTTCCCAGATGGCTTCCAACAAGCAAAGTCAATGGGGGAAGCCAGATTCGCTTAACAACCACATGATTCACTTAAGAACCGCAGCAATTCATTTAACAACTGTGGCAAAAAAATGCCGTAAAATCGGGTGCAACTCCCTTAATAATTGCCTTGCTTAGCAAAGGAAATTCTGGTCCCAACTGTCATAAATCAAGGATAACCTGTATTTCACCGGTAGAGAACATGCTTCAAGTGTTCAGAAATTCCATATTTGTTCGCTGGCCTGATTTTTTAATAATTTATTATTTTATTGATCAAATTTTTGAAACCATTCATCTCCGTCACAGATGAACTCTTTTTTTATATTTAACTTAAAAAAGATTTTGTTGGAGAATAACTATTATTCCAGAGCTATGTGCATAGACCTACTTAAAAATGTGAAAATTTCAATCACTGAAGCCAATGTCTGAATCCCTCACCCTGTATTCTTTTTTTCTCCAATTTTTTATTTTATTTTAATACAAACAATCCATCTTCCATTAAACAGTGTGTCGTCTGGGTGCAAATGTTTTGTGCAATAACAATTAAGATTGACAGCCATATTCATTATATGATCTATTCTTAACATAATACCAATACATCATATCTAATACTATGACAATCCTCTCCTTGACTTATTTAACTCTTTTAATACATTTGTCTATATTTCACTCCTCTACTTTTATTTCTAATTTTCATAGTTATTCTCTAACCATCGGTAAAATAACTCCCATATACTATAATATTCGGTTTGTTCTTTCTCCTTGATTGCCAGCGTTAACCTATTCATTTCTGCACATTCTAATATTTTCCTAATCACATTTTCCTCTGTAGGAATCTCTTCACTTTTCCAATTTTGTGCAAATACAATTCTAACTGCAGTTATTACATGGATAATCAAATATACATTTTCTTTACTGTAAGTTTCTGGTAAAATCCCCAACACCCTCTCCCTAACTTTCTGAACCTTCTGCTCCGTCTCTCACTTCCTCACTTAAAATGTTGAAGAACATTTGGACTACAGATTCCCAGATCCCCCTATTCCTATAAATGGCCTGAGGAACTTCAGAGAACTATATTTCCCGAAGCTCCTTGTGCCAGGTGTAGTACAGAAAAGAGAGTCAACAAAGACAACAAATCCAGGAATGCATTTCAAAGATTACTCTGTTTGGAATGAGGCTTTTCAGATACACTCCAAACCAAAGGTGGTTTAATTAGAAGGGAATATTTGTAGCTCAGAGTTGAACTATGGGGTCCTTGGTGCTTTCTGAACTCGGTGGTTTTCTTGCAGACGTTTCATTAGTGCACTGATGATGTTACCCAGTTTGGTAATGAAATGTCTGCAGGAAAACTACAAAGCTCAAAAAGCAGCAAGGATCCCACAAAGAAGGTTTCCTTCTCAAGCTGCTCCTTTCTCAACTATGTCTTTCTATCCATCATCATACCAGGGGTGGGTTTCAAAACCCATCGCTACTGATTCGCTCGTGGGCACGCATGCACTCATGCACAGAAGCATCTGGGCGGGTGGGCAGAGCCTCCTGCCACCACCGCTACCGGTTCACCCAATCTGGGGCGAACCAGTAGCAACCCACCACTGCATCATACCATCCTTCTCTGTAGCTATTTGTTGTTGTCTGCCAGCAACCTGCGGAGCTGGCAGCGGAGTCGGACAGTGAGGAGGCTGGGGAGGAACATGGGCCAGTCCTGGAGTCTGGGGAAGGCCCGGACGAGGGCTCTGCATCGGAGGCAGAGATGGGGCCAGGGCCATCTGGGAGTGATGCGTGGACTCCGGAGCCCCCAAAGTCAGACAGCAGAGAGGCAGAGGACAGGAGGAGCCTGTTCCTAGTGCACACATGCGCAGAGCTGCCAGAAGACAAGAGCAGGTAAAACAAAAGGGACGATTCGAGAGTAAGGCCAGGAGATGATTGGCCCCTCCCATAAGGCTTAAAAGAGAAACAGAGGCACTTGGGCCTTTTGCAGAAAAGCAATGTTGCTAACTGTTTCCAGTCGGCATCTCTTGCTTGTTTCTGAACTTCATGGGGCTTTGCCAAGTAAGGCCTTTGGCACACTGTCAAAGAAGATCAAGGTTGGTGATTATCCTAAAGGACTTCTTCCGAAGGACTTGTTTCGCAACTAACTGGGACTCAGCTGGGAATGAACATAATTCTCAGCTGTTACAATAAAATAGGTTTGTTTGGGACTAATTGTGTATTGTAATGACTTAGTAAGCCTAGGTGACAACACTATTCAAACTCACTCCTTTTGCAATACCTGGCCTGAAAACTTCTGATCAAGTCCCATCAAGTAGAGCTGAGCAGTCAAAAATGCTCGACATCTTTAGATGTCTGATCTCCCCAAAAGTTAGTATAAATTCAAATGTTTATGTCGATACTTAGTTTCTGTCACATACCTGCAAAAAGTAGAAACAAGGCCATCCATATTTTCACTAACTCCCCTCATCATATTTTTTAGCCTGCTTTTCTGATAACCATCCTCTTCCCTCAGAGGCTCTTTTAGGTTCAGATTCATTTTTTATTTCCTTGAGCTGAGGTTAAGAAGAAGTCTGACTAAGCAGGTAAACCAATCCAACCCTGATCTAATTGCATTCTCTTTTCAAGTGTTTAGGGAATGAATCATTAATCCCAGGTGAAAATTCCGACAGGGTGCAAATTGATGAAAATCTCTCTCCTGGCCGTTTTCATGCCTTGCCGTAATATTTACAATTGGGGAAGCCTTCCTCTCTCAAATTGGGGAATTTCCGTTCTACAGAGATAAACCTGCGTGTATGCAGTTCATGGAATCAGAGGGCTGAAAAGGACCTTGGATGTCGTCTAGCATAGTTTAATTCTGCACATCAATTTCCTTCCAGAATTAGGTTTTTTTCCATCACTGCTTAGCTCACCTTGGGATAGAGCACAGGCTGAAACTTTAATCCTGTGGCGTCATCGCAGAAGGCCTGTTTAGAAACGCAGCAAACGGTGAGTGAGAAATTAGGAGCTCAAAGACACAGCAGTTTACAAACAGGGGGGAAAGTCAAAGATAATACAAAACGAGAAAAGTAACTTTCTTTGTTGTATCACAAATGCGGAATACATCATGACATTGATTTAAACCAATGAAGGGGTAGGTGGGGATCTGGGAGACAAACCACTCTTCTTTTAAATTTTCCACAACATAAATATTTTTGGATGATAGTAACTTGCCCTATTATTATTCTTAGCCTAAGGCATTACTACATTAGCCAGGAGACCACAATACAATTGCAAAACAGTAGTTTGGCTGCCAAGGTACCAGCTGTGTTGTAGGAAATGCTCGCGCACCCATGGTGCACCACAAGAGGGCAATCTGGCTTCGCACCAGAAAGAAAGACAAGCGGCTCTTCCTGCAGTGTCATCCAAGCCCCCCTCCCTCCCCGACGCCGCGTCGCCAATGGGCATCGCAACCAGGAAGGTTCAGAGGGCAGGAATCTGACTGCCTGCACTGAGCACCAGCTCGTCCCCCCCCCCAAAGTGGAACCTAGTTTATCTACTCATATAGAACATGCTTTCGAACTGTTAGGTGGACAGAAGCTGAGGTGAGTGACAGGAGCTCACCCCGACAGGCAGTACTAGGACTTGAACCAATGGAGCAGAAATCATCTCCAGTGTCATTAAGCTATTGAGCCACAGTGGGGCAGTGGTTAAAGCGCAGTACTGCAGACTACTTCTGCTGGCTGCCTGCAACTTGGCAGTTCAAATCTCACCAGGCTCAAGGTTGACTCAGCCTTCCATCCTCCCGAGGTGAGTAAAATGAGGACCCAAAATTGTTGGGGGCAATATGCTGACTCTGTAAACCGCTTAGAGAGGGCTGTAAAAGCATTGTAAAGCGGTATATAAGTCTAAGGGCTATTGCTATAACTTGCCCTAACAAATATGAACTGCCTCTTCACTCTGGATCTAATTTCTACTTTCACATTTTTACCACACCAGTATCCTCCTCAACTGTCTGCCCCCACAGACACCTTTGGAGTCAAAGCACTGCAGATTATATGTTTTTGTCTGTGTTTAATTCTTGCCTCCATCGTGATCTTTTTTTCCCTTGCAATCATTGATGTTTTGATGATAAAGCCCGACCTCTAAAGATCGCAACTATGATCTTTATGGTTATCACTCCAAGCAACCTACCTTTGCAATCTGTGGGATGTTTGGCAGCTTGCTGAGTCCAGCTAAAGGGATTCTTTCATGTAACGTTTTTACTTTGGACCTATGGAAAGCCAAAACAGAAATGGAGAGAATTAAACATAAGCAGTGATAATATAGCAATATCTCTAGATTTCATTAAAAGGAAGGCTCCGGAGATTGTTTTTGAACCTTTCCAAGAGGGTTTGTTTGGACATGGTTGTTACGGTTACCATCTCCAGTTTCCCCATTTTCTTTGAAACATCCGTAATTTGTTGGGGGAATAAGAGGATAAGACATTACGGAGAGAAGAAACAGTGTTTTATATATAATTGATATTTTCCAATATCTTTTCAAAAGATTGTTGTCTTACTGGTTTCCTTGGGCTTTGCTGTAGGTCAAGCAAACAATGTTCATTGGCAAACTCATTACTGAAGAGCAGACTTAAAGTGCTGTAAATTAATTTTTAAAACCCCAAGGAACTCAGATCCATCATTAAACGGCTACAGGACATCCTGTTATCATCACTTCATCTCTCTCTTATGTAGCAAAACGTTTGGACTCCATGGAAACTTCAGCACGCCAAAAGAGTCCACCAGGATGCCCTGTCATCTTTTAATATACAGTATTTGGACAAGATCATCTCATGGTCAATCCAAATCAACTCATTGGACAAGGCTAAGGAGAACTCGCCCCAATGGGTTTGCATCAGGGAAAAGAAGGCATGGATGGGTCAACCAACTGAGAGGGAGAAGTTCACTCTGGTTCTGTGTTTCTCAACCTTGGCAACTTGAAGATGTGTGGACTCCTAGAATCCGCTAGCCAGCATGGTCCACATATTCAAGTCCACATATTGTCAGGGTTCCAACGGATGCCCTAATTAAATCATGAGCCTCAAGCCAAGCTTCAAAAGAAATCTAGTTATTTATTAGGAGCTTCATGTCAGCATGTTCCAAGTGAAGCCAACTCTGACCCTATGTAATTTACGGCCTAGACTTGACCATGTTTCCCCTCCCCCCCCCAGGGTGTGTATCAGTAACATTCGCCAATGGAGAAATTTCGTGGGTTGTAGAAATCACTCCCCTCCAGCCGCTGAGGGTAACTTTGGGAGACAGCCTTGAGAGAGATGTCTGGAACGTGCTTTTGAGTTTTTTTGCTTCTGTGCTGCTTCGCCGTTTTCCCATCCTCCTTGCCCATGGCAACTTGAGAGCAGGCCAGGGATGCTTTGCGAGTTGACATATATCTTCAAGGTGCTAAGGTTGAGAAACACTGCTCTAGGTATGAGAGAAGTTCTTTTCATCGTACTACCCTGTGTTTCCCCAAAAATAAGACCGGGACTTATTTTCTTTTGGGCCCCAAAATAATCATTAGGGCTTATTTTGAGGGGTGTCATTTTTCCCCCATGTATGGGAGGCCTAACACTTGCCTTCTTTTCCATGTATCCCCGCCCTGACACCTGCCTCACGGCGGCAGCACCAACAGCCATGTGCAACAGGAGTCCACATGACTGCTGGCCCACTTCTTATGCTTGTTCAAGACAGGGCAGGATCCCGTATGGCCACTGGCCCACTTTTGCTTGCTTACAGCTACAAGGGAAAAGGAAGTTGAGTGACGCGCCAGTGCCACGGCAACGAGGCAATGCGGGGGTGGAGTTGCCCCACATGCCCTGCACCGATTTACCTCAGGGCTCTGCAGCTAGGCCATCCATGCCCTGACACCTGCCTCACCTCACATCAGTGGCACCAGCACACCCCTTGGCCTCCTGCTCCATTGCAGCCGCAAGCAAGCAGAAGTGGACCGGCAGCCATATGGGCACCTGCTGCATTTTTGTTTTCTGTATATGTTCTTTCCTTTACCCCTTTTCTTTACCTGAGAATAATCCGTAGATATTCAATTCCATCTACCTCTTCACATTTAATGGAAAGGATCAAATTTCCCAGGCTGCTGGCCGTGCAGTAAAAATTTAAATGATCCTAAAGATAGAAAAAATGTGTTAAGAGTAATCAGGGGGGAAAAAAACCACAAAGGCTCTAAACTTAGTGATTTAAGTCGCCCTCCCTGTCTTTCATGGTTTCATTGCTGATCTTCCGCTCATTTTTAACACCCAAAAGTAATCACAAGTGACTCATCCATAGTTTATGAACACCTTGCAAATCCTTTAGGGATACAAGAAACATTTAGAAGATAGAATAACAGAGTTGGAAGGGACCTTGGAGGTCTTCTAGTCCAACCCCCTGCTTAGGCAGGAAGCCCTATACCATTTCAGACAAATGGTTGTCCAATCTCTTCTTAAAAACTTCCAGTGTTGGAACATTCACAACTTCTGGAGGCAAGTTGTTCCTCTGATTAATTGTTTTCACTGTCAGGAAATTTCTCCTTAGTTCTAGGTTGCTCCTCTCCTTGATTAGTTTCCATCCCTTGTTTCTTGTCCTGCCTTCAGATGCTTTAATTCTTCCTTCTTTCCTTACTCTCTCCTACCTCCCTTCTTCCTCTTCTTTTTCTTTCCTTCCTCTTTTTTTCTTTTCCTTCTTCACATATGCTCGAATTTTTCTCTCTGCTCCCTGACATCAACCTAGATACATTTTCATCCGTTCCCTTTCAATTTTGAAAGATTTTGGGTTCTCTTCAGAGCATCTGCCTCTTTCAATGATTTTCCAGCAAGACAGAAATGGGGCCAGAGTTGTTATTTTTCTTTTAATAGCTGCATAGCGCTGACTTGTATGGACCTCCTGAGATGTGGATCCAGGATCTACCCCTCTCAGATCCATCCCAAAGAAAACAGAAGAACTAAGCTGGGCAACACAGAGAATATTTAATATTTAACCCAGCATTCTGTGTCACACAGGAACTGACCTACCTAAGAAAGATGAAATAAAGTCTAGCATAACCCACATACTGTATATAACAGCCATGCTGCCTCTGAGACAGAAACCATCTTCTCTAAACTGGTAGCAATTCTGTTGTGGCCCGTCAGCGGAGCTGGCAGCAGATTCGGACAGTGAGGAGGCTGGGGAGGAACATGGGTCAGTCCTGGAATCTGGGGAAGGCTCTGATGAGGGCTCTACGTTGGAGGCAGAAAGGGGGCCAGGTCCATACGACAGTTATCAGCTGCCTTCTGAGCCAGACATCAGAGAGGCAGACGAACAGCTGGAGCCTGTTCCCAGTATGTGCATGCACAGAGTTGCCAGAGGAAGGGAACAGCTAAGGAACAAGGGTCTACTCAGGAGTAAAGCCACAGGTGGATGATGAATGGCCCCTCCCATAGGGAATAAAAAGGAGCGAAAGGGAAGGGGAGTTTGCAGGAGACAATTAGTTCGCTTAATTGGTTTGTGACTCTCGGAGACTTCTTGCCAAGTTTTGAAGATATCGGCCTGGCAGCTCTCCAAGCCAGTTAAGGTCTGTGACTGTAAATCCTCCCTTGAAAGACTTTGCTGGATGTGAATGAGAAGAATTCACAGTAACTTAATAAAAAGGTTTTTTTGTCAGGACAAGGAGTCTGCTTCGTGGTTTGGGGAAGCCTAAGTCAGAACAAATTCTTTTTTTACACCAGATACATTGGTGGCCATCACCACATTTGGTGGCCATAAATGCCACTGTTGAACAAAGAGGTGGGCAATTAATTTTTCCCAAGGGGTCACATCGGAAACTGGGTCTGTTATGGAGGGCCCAACCAATAGGGCTCTGAAGGTAGGTAGGCATGCAAGCCTGCACATACATAAATTGGGGGGAAAAACTAAGTAGCAGTCTCCTTCAAAATAAAAGCAATTCATTTGGGCTAGATAGGAACAGCCAAAGGACCAGATGTGGCTTGGAGGTCATAAAATGCCCAGCTCTGGTTTAACACTCTGTTGAAATTTCATTTCCTTCCTCCTACAAGTTTCTCTGCCCCTCCCCCAAATTTCCTTTGATTAATGCTCTTTCTATTTCTCCCCTCCTTTTAATTATGTACTTTGAGTAACAATGCATTGAATATGTTTCCTAGCTGGGAAATAAAATATTTCCAAAAAACCAAACCAGCTCAGAGAGCACCAGTTCTCTGCAGTTCAACCCTGAAGTATCTCTCTATTGTCTTCTCTAGGTGTGTAGTAATGTGAGGCTTCCCACATTAAAGCTGAATGGATGACCCTGAATAATTTTTAATGGATGACCTTCAATTTTGGTACTATGAGAGTGAGTGGGTGGAAAACTCTCTATAGTAGCTGCAGTTTCCAGACTGAGCAGTTTTACATAATTCTTTCAGATCTTGCCTGAAACGGAAAAATCCCAGATGCCACAAGTCTTTCCTTGTGGATAAGGAGTCCCTGCGGATTTTACTCCATCAGCCATTGCTGGCTCTAGGAGCAGCAACTCCATTTCAACGCCACTGAGCCAGCGCTGTCCGAAGACATTTCCGTGGTCATATGGCCAGCATGACGTCATGGAGTACTGTTATTTTCCACCACAGTGGTACCTATTTATCTACTCGCATTTGCATGCTTCCAAATTGCTAGGTTGGCAGAAGCTGAGGAGAGGACGGGAGCTGTTCCTCGGGTCTTGAACCTTGGCTGCCGACTTTCCAGTCAAACAAACTGAGCATCTTAACTGCCAAGACGCCACGCCGCCTCTTGTGGGAGAGCTAGTCTATTCCTCCACTATCTGCATCTTTTCTATCTTTCCAATATACACTTAAGGTACATGGACCAGAACTGTGTACAAATTAACAGTTGATGATTAAAATTTCAGAGCCATGGTTAGAATGCAGTATTGCAGAGTAACTCTGCCCACTGCCAGGAGTTCGATCCTGACTGGCTCGTGGCTGACTCAGCCCTCCATCCTTCTGAGGTCGATAAAATGAGGACCCAGATTATTGGGGGAAATATGCTGACTCTGTAAACTGCTTAGAGACGGCTGTAAAACACTATGAAACGATATATACCGTGTACCGTATATAATTTTCAGAGTATAAGACACACTTTTTTCCCTCCTAAAAGAGGCTGAAATTTTGGGTGCGTCTTATAGTCTGAATTATAGCTTTTTTGAAGCTATTTTTCAGCACTAACGAGGCGCTAGCGATCTCCGTGCTAAGCTTTTTTTCAGTGAAGGATCTTCCATGCTTTGCCTGCTCCCTCCGACTCTCAGCTGTGAAGTTTTTTTCCAGCCCTAACGAGGTGCTAGCGAGTGAAGCGATCTCCATGGTTTGCCTGCTTTTCTCATTGCTTCTCTCCAAAGATCAGTTATTCTTTAGAAGCTGTTTTTTATCCTCAAGCAGGAAATAAAAAACAGCAAACTAATGTGCTGAAGCTGACCAGACTAAGGATGCTAGCCAGATGAATACCTGGTAGGCAGATTTTTTTTCCCCTATTTTCCTCCCCAAAAACTAAGCTGTGTCTTATACTCCAGTGCGTCTTATACTCCGAAAAATACGGTAAGTCTAAGAGCTAAGTGCTATTGCAGTTTTAATGGTTGCCAAGCTTTTTTAGAACAAGAGAATAGATCAGTTTTATCCAGAATCTGGAAGCTGGGTGGGTTGTTGTTGTTTTTGGGTATTCAGTAATGTCAGCCCTTCAAGGTAGTCCAGACAAAATGCCAAAACCATGAATACTAACATTACCTTCTTCATAAATTTTTTAACAGCTAAAGACTGATTTAATCAGATTCTGGACAAGAGTGAACTACAGGTAGACTTGCAGCGGTTCATTTAGTGACCGTACAAAGTTACAACAGCACTGAAAAAAGTGACTTATGGCCATTTTTCACACTTAAGACCATTGCAGCATCCCCAAGGTCACGTGATCAAAATTCAGACATTGGGCAACTGACTCATATTTATGACCATTGCACAGTGGTTGAAATGTAAAATTTGTTACTACCGGTTCTGTGGGTGTGGCTTGGTGGGGGGTGGGGTGGGTAATAAGACTTGGTGGGCGTGGCCAACTTTTTTTTTTTTTACTTTTAAAACCATTTTTTCTACAACCTCTTCAGCCAAAGAGGTTGCAGAAAAAAATGTTTTTAAAAGCCTCTGATGATCACGTGGCTCAGCTGGGATCATCAGAGGCTTTTAAAAGCATTTTTTCTACAACCTCTTTGGCCAAATACTTTTAAAAGCATTTTTTCGGCCAAAGAGGTTATAGCAAATGCTTTTAAAAAATTTTTTAAAAGCCCCTGATGATTGCGCGGCTCAGCTGTGCATGGGGGGGGGGCAGGGATTTTTGCTACCAGTTCTCTGAACCACCCACCACCATTGCTACCGGATTGGGCGATCCGGTCCGAACTGGGAGCATTTCACCCTTGCCATTGTAGTGTCCTGGGTCATGTGATCACCTTTTGCAACCTTCTGACAAGAATCTGGGAAGCCAGATTCACTTAACAATGGTGTTACTAACTTAACAACTGCAGTGATTCACTTAATGACTGTGGCAAGAAAGGTCGTAGAATGGGGCAAAAGTCACTTAACAAATGTCTCAGCAACAGAAATTTTAGGCTCGATTGTGGTCGTAAGTTGAGAACTACCTGTATTTGTCTGTGTTAAAAAAAATCTTGGTAACCATCATAAATCAGATTTTAATCATTAGCTGATTACCTACATCGCAAAGGGGTTGATGGGTATGTCAACCCTGAAGCGGACTTGACTCGAGCCATTTTTGGCCGCTTCAGTGTTGCCACATTGGAGCTGAAGGATAGGGAGGGGGGAATTGAGATACAAGGGAATCTGTAGTCAAAACAACCTAATTTGCTTTTGAGAACCAAGGACATTCTCACACCTGGTGAGGAAGGAAGGTGGAGCGATGCTCCCTGGCTGCCAGTCCACACTGTGATTGGAATATGTGACTGATTGTTTTGAGAAAGTAGAAAATCTTTTACTTTTAATTAGGTGAAAACCACGGGAGACTTTAGAGTCGGTTTTCACCAGTTATATGCCAATATGATAATTCCAATAAAAGTATTCTTTAAGGAATCTACCTGCCTTGGAGTTTTGCTTGCTATGGATTTATTACTTCGGACCCTGACAGGATAAGTGTAGGTTACAAATGGTCACAGACAGGCTGATGCATACACACCCAAATCCCAACTGCGCATTGTATGGATGTGTATATCCTTTTTGCTGATTGGTTGATCCAACTTCCGGTTTTGTACTTTGCTGTTTGAGTGCACCCCTATCTAAAACGTTATATTTGCAGAAATATAAATGCAATTCTTTTGCAACCATCCCCAAATGATACCGTGTTTCCCCGAAAATATGACCCACCCTGAAAAGACGGCCTATCATGTTTTTGAATGCATGCATTAAAATTAAGCCCTAGCCCTAAAATTAGCCCTAATTAAGACCCCACCCACCCCGGGGTGCAGGAGGTGGGGCGAGGTACACAGGTAAAAATTAAGTTAGGCTGGGGATAGGGTGGTGGAGCTACCCTTCTTACCAGGCCTTGCACATCCCGACACCTGCCTCGCCTTGCAGGCCCACTTCTCCTGTGGCCACTTGCTGCTGCTTGCATGCATCGCCCCCGGCCTCCATTTCACCATCAGAGCCTTCTGGAAAGTTCTCTGCAGCTGAGAAACGGGCTCTGGATCCACACGGCACTCCCTGGCTTCCATTTTGCCTTCAGATGCCTTCCGGAAAGCCCTGTGTAGCCGATAAAAGAGCTCCGGATCAATCCAGAGCTTTGTTATTGGCTGAAGAGGGCTTTCCGGAAGGCATCTGAAGGCGAAACGGAAGCTAGGGAGTGCCGCGCGTGTCAATCCGGAGTCCGTTTCTCAGCTGCAGAGGGCTTTCCGGAAGGCTCTGACGGCGAAACGGAGGCCGGTGAGCGATGTGCGCATGAATCTGGACTTGTTTCTTGGCTGCAGAGAGCTTTCCGGAAGGATCTGATGGCAAAACGGAGGCCTGGGGGCGATGCGCATGAGCGGTGGCAAGCAGCCACAGAAGTGGGCCGGCAGCGGGCTCCTTCTGGGCTGGGCTGTCGGTGCTGCCACTGCGAGGTGAGGCAATAATTAGACCCATCCAAAACAAAGCCGTAGCTGTTTTTTTCAGGGGGTCAAAAGAAAATAAGACCCGGTCATATTTTCGGGGAAACACAGGTAAATGCAAACATTCCCTGACATGCAAATGCTGGAGATGTTTGCTCGACCCTTTTAAGTTCCGCGTAACCATGTGTGTAATGGAGCACACGCCTCCTTTCCCACTAACCTTTCCTAAGAAATGTTTCCGATATGCCTTGGCTTCACCTTTGCACTCCAATTTGTAGCCGTAAGTGCTGGGGCTGAGCGGCTCCTCCTCTTCGTCACAGATGCTGCTTTCGGATGAAGTGGGGGTGCTGAGGTTCTCGGGGTCTTCAATCCAGTAGCCCCCAAATTGAGGCAAGATGATTAAGGGGTAGGGACTCCCTTTTTCTAAAAACTGTTTGGAGTGGGGAAAGGAATTGTTATCAATTGCCACTCAGGGGTGAAATCTACTTACCTTCCCTAACGGTTCGGAAGTATGTGCACCGCCATCGTCAGGTCTGATTTTTGACCCTCTGCACATGCGCAAAGCCTTCTGTGCATGCGCAGAAGGTAAAAAATGGGGTGTAATACGTCCAGGCGGGTTGGCAGAGCCTCGCGCTGCCTCCGCTACCAGTTCACCAAATTACACACCATCGCCGCTACCAGTTTGCGCAATCCCGACAGAACTGGCAGGATTTCACCACTGTTGCCACTTTGGGAGAACATCTTAGCTTGTCATGGCTGCCTTGGCCTGAAGCATGAAACCATTGAACAAGATGTAAATGTAACAAGATGTAAATGTTGATTCCATAAATCAGTGTTTCTCAACCGTGGCAACTTTCAGCTGTCTGGATTTCAATTCCCAGAGTTTAGTTTAGTTGGCTGGGGAATTCTGGGAGTTGAAGTCCACCTATCTGAACATTCCCAAGACTGAGAAACACTCCCGTAAATATTTCAGGGCAGATTCAATTCTCAGGCTTGTATAAATATGGACCCAGAAGAAAAGGTTCAACTCCATTTCCAGGCCTTGTTGTGGTGCAGATGTTCAATTCCAACCTATTCTATAAAGGAAGTCACATTAAAATGCTACCTGACACATTTTACACTCTACCAACCCCACCTGGTAAAACAAAAAGTGATCACTCAAATGCAATCCAATTCTATGTTGCAATCACATTCTCAAAATGTGAATCAAAGGATTTAACAAAAGACTTCCGAGTGTGAAGTTAACTATGGAAAAAAGGTAGGGCTAGATATAAATCTCCAGGGTTCATCAGTTTCCAGTCTCTGGGTCGATGAATTAAAACTTCTTTGTGTAGGTGCAGACGGCGAAGATATTTATTTTGGATATCCTCAACCTGGTGCCAACCACATATTTTTTGCTTGTACCTCTCTGATTATTGGAAGCCACAGTGAGAACACACTGAAATATATTTAGAGGGTGTGGTGTTGAAGAATAGTTGTCTTAACATCCAATCTGAGTCTGTCACTGGGACCAAAGGTTTATTCTTTCAATATTTTGGACTCGTGCTGGAGCCCATCATCAGGGAACTTCTCTCTCTCTCCAGAATATGTGCACTGGGCTGTTCTACTGGTTACAGATTAACAGATTAACAGTTGGAAGGGACCTTGTAAGTCATCTGGTCCAACCCCCGCCCAAGCAGGAGATCCTACACCATTTCTGACAAATGGCAGTCCAATCTCTTTTTGAAAGCTTCCAGTGATGAACCTCCCACAACTTCCGAAGGCAACTTCTGTTCCATTGGTTGATTGTTCTCACTGTCAAAAAATTCCTCCTTATTTCCAGATTGAATCTCTCCTTGTTCAGTTTCCATCCATTATTCCTTGTCTGACTTTCAGGTGCTTTGGAGAATAGCTTGACCGCCTCCTCTCTGTGGCAACCCCTCAAATATTGGAAGACTGCTATCATGTCTCCCCTTCTCTTCACTAGACTAGCCATGCCCAGTTCCTGTAACAGTTCTTTGTATGTTTTAGTCTCCTGTCCCCTAATCATCTTGGTTGCTCTTCTCTGCACTTTTTCTAGAGTCTCAACATCTTTTTATAGTGTGGTGACCAAAACTGGATGCAGTATTCTAGGTGTCGTCTTACTAAGGCTTTACAGAGTAGTCAGTGGTGGGATTCAGCCGGTTCTGTCCGGTTTGGGTGACTGTGGGAGGCTCCACCCTCCTGCCTGGATGTAATGCGTGAGCAAAGAGTATGGTCTTTGAAGGCCGTGCACATGTGCAGAGGTGCCACATGCGCTCACATTTGCGAACCAGTAGGGAAGGTAAATGAATCCCACCTCTGAGAGTAGCATTAGTACTTTACTTGATCTTGATTATATCCCTGTTAGGATTGCATTGGCTTTTTTGGCTGCCGCCGCACACTGCTGGCTCATATTTAACTGGTTGTCCACTAGGATGCCAAGATCCCTCTCACAGTTACTGCTATTAAGCCTGGTTTCACCCAGTCTATATGTGTACTTTTGGTTTTTCTTGCCTAACCATATTTATATGGTTCCTGGTTGTATGTAGCTTTTAGTTGTTAATTAGGGTGTTGATGGCTGGCTATTATTAAGTCATTAATTGTTGTTTCATTAATTGTTGTTTCCTTATGCTGTCATATCCCTCAGTTCCTAAGTACCTATCTACCTGGCTATGAGATACTTAAGAACTGATGATGCAGCAGCACAAGGAAACAATAACTAATGACTTAATAGCCAGCCAACAACTCCCTAATTAACAACTAAAAGCTACACACAACCAAGAAATACAATGCCTAGAACAGCCTAGTGCACATGTTCTGGAGAGAGAGAAATTCTTGATGATCGTCTCCAGCACAAAGCATGAAAGCTTGAAAGAATAAACCTTTGTTTGGTCCAGTGGTGAAATCCAATTTTTTTTACTACCGGTTCTGTGGGCATGGCTTGGTGGGTGTGGTGTGGCTTGGTGGGCATGGCAGGGGAAGGATACTGCAAAATCCCCATTCCCTTCCCACTCTTGGGGGAAGGATATTGCAAAATCTCCATTCCCACCCCACTCTGGAGCCAGCCAGAGGTGGTATTTGCTGGTTCTCCAAACTACTCAAAATTTCTGCTAACGGTTCTCCAGAACCTGTCAGAACCTGATGGATTTCACCCCTGGTTTGGTCCCAGTGACCAACTCAGATTGGATTCTAAGTAGTGGTGGGATTCAAATAATTTAACAACCGGTTCTCTGCCCTAATGACCAGCTGGGTAGGTATGGCTTAGTGGTCATATGACTGTGTGGGCGTGGCCAACTCAACATCACTCACGTGGATGGGCGCTTCGCCTTAGCTGTTACAATGTAATAAGGATTAAGCAGAGAGGCAGTTTCTGTAAGCAGGGCGATAAAGCTTAGGCTAGAAACAACACCAGAATGTTTCAGTTCCTTACAGGATTAGCCCTGTAAAGTGGAAAAGAAACAAAATAAGATTTCTTCCAACAACCCGTTCTCCGAACTGCTTAGAAAGTTAATAACCGGTTCTCCTGAATAGGTGCGAACTGGCTGAATCCCACCGCTGCAACTATTCGGCAACTATTCGTTAACATTTCACCTTCTAAATATGTTTCAATGTGTTCTCATTGTGAGTCCCATTAATCAGAGAGGTACCGTACAAGCAAAAAAAAAAAAATGTGGTTGGCAACAGGTTGGGGATATCCAGAATAAATATCTTTGCAGTCTGCACCTTTGGTCCCAGTGACCAACCCAGATTGGATCCTGCAACATTATCCTGGGACACTTATATTTGCTTTCATTTGCAATAGTTGCCTTAATTCATTAAAGCATTCTTAACATTCTTTAATGTCTATTCTTAGCATTCTTAACCCTGTAGCCTTTTCAGTTGAAGGTGTTGTGGGAAGCCCCCACCCCTCCTAGAAGAATAAAATATTTTGGGAAATATTAAAAAGGCAAAATATTACATTTCCTTAAAGGAGAAATGGAGAAACATGCTCTTAAAGGCAGAAAGCAGCCCCCCAAGTCTTTCTTAATAGCCCACAGCAGATGCCAGCACTTAAGAGATAAAGAGCTTATTGAAAGAAGAAGACAAGTATCTAGATAGCTCTATTCATAAGCAAAGGAAATGCTACAGGCAGAAATCCATTCAAGAGAGGATATTTCAAAACTCTTTAGCAGAATGATAGGATTAGAAAGCAGCCCCTCACCCAAGATCCAACACAGGACGAAAGCCATTAGCCACAATAGGAATTGTCCAACACCCTTTCAGAACACAAGCCCCTTCATTGCACACACACCCTCAGAGCAGTCCAAACTTCAAAGCCACAGAAACCTGGGAGCTCAGATAAACAATAAGACAGAGGTTGACCAGATTAGCTCAAACAAGCACCTAGGATTTGCATTTCCTCTTTTGCCTATACAGCCAGCTATGACCCCTGCATGACCCCATAGGAATCTGACAACAGCCAATAGAATATTCAAGCACATGTTCTGGCACAGGACCAGGAAGCTCAAATACAAAGCCCAAAGAAGGTATAAACCCCACCACCACCACTCTCAACTCCGTTTTCTTCAGCTGACCCAGAACTGTCTTTGTGGTTCTGTTCAATAAACCATCTTTCCAATCAGCCTCCATGTTTCCAGTGTCTTTCTCCCAGCTTGGAACTGAACAAGTGGTGAAAAGCTACTGGTTCGCACCGGTTTGGGAATACCAGTAGTGGCGGCAGGGCATGGTTCGGTGAACCGGTAGCGGCGGCAGCGTGAGGCTCCGCCCACCCACCCGGACGTCGTTACTTTCTGGTTTTAACCAGGAACTAACCTGTTTTTGACCCTCTGTACATGCATAGAAGGCTTTGTGCATGCACAGAGGGTCCAAAATTGCACGATGGCACATGCACTTCTGAACCGGTAGGGAAGGTAAGTAGATTTCACCCCTGAACTGAACCAGATGGATTTTCCTTCCAACGGTGTCTTCCAATTTATTCAAAACCAAGTTATACATATTCTGGCAGAGCATCAGAAGCTGGGGTAGGGGGTAGGGCGGGGGACTCAAAAAAGGCAAGAGTAGCCCCAAATGTGTGGCCGAAGCTGCTTCCTTTTGTCGCATTAAAAAAAGCAGCACACATAGAAAAGGTGCGGCTTTTCAATCGCAAGGTTCTTATCTTGAGATTTTTGGATCCCCACTTAAAGGTGACTTCAGCGTGAAAATAGCTCGCCAGGTCAGACTTTTAAAACTTTTCAGTGACTTCCTTTTAGTAATCTTTCTAATGGTTCCCCCCACCCCTTCAAGTACATACCTCATCAATGCTGGGATAGGGGATATAGTCCTCCTGGAAGATAATAATAAAACACACACACACACACACAAGAAAATGTCACTCTGGGTTCTATTTCAAACACCATTTAAGGTAACAAAAAGCAGCTTGGTTTCTTTTGGAAATATAATTGATATTGCTTTTGAAAGATTCAATTTCTTTAAAAGTGAAATCAGGACACGCTTGATAGCTTCTTTCCTTCCACTTTGTCTTTTTGCTCAATCACTTCTCTCTCCCTTTCTCTTTCTCTTTCTTTCTTTCCCCCCTCTCTCTGTCTCTCTGTGTCTCTCTCTCCCTCTCTCCCTTCCTTTCTCTCTGTCTCTCCCTCTCTCCCTCTGTCTCTGTCTCTCTCCCTCCCTCCCTCCCTCTCTCTCCCTCCCTCCCTCCCTCTCTCTCCCTCCTCTTCCCTCCTTCTCTCGCTGTCTCTCTGTCTCTCTCTGTCTCTCCCTTCCCCTCCCTCTCTCTGACTCTGTGCCTCTGTGTCTCTGTGTGTCTCTCTCTCTGTCTCTCTTTGTCTCTCCCTCCCTTCCTCCTCTGTCTCTCCCTCTTTCCCCCCTCTGTCTCCCTCCCACTCCCTCCCTCTCTCTCTGTCTCTCTCTGCCTCTCCTTCCTTCCCTCCCTCCCTCTGTCTCTCTTCATTCTCTCTGGATTTTCCACATACTATTTCTTTTTTAATTTTTCCTGTCTTTCCAAACCTCCTAGCAGTTTGAACTCAAGACAGAGTTGTCCACCAGTGCTAGGCCTCCTATATGCATAAGAGAGCCAACCCAATATATAAAGAAAATAAAGCATTAAAAAGGGGGAAATATATATATGTATATAGGCTTATGACACAAAGCTGGCTTAGAGGCATAATTCAGTTCTTATTTAATTTATCACTGGTATTTCAGTCAATGCCCTAGTTTCAATATAAATTATGATCGCCACTGAGACCAGAATGGCTAAACAAGGTGGTGATTAATTAAATAGTGCCCAATTTTACCACCTTGTTTGCCATGGTTGTTAAGCGAATCATTGCAGCTGTTAAGTGAAACAGTTGTTTAGTGAATCTGGCTTCCCGTATTAATTCTGCTTGTTGGAAGCCCGCTGGAAGGTCTCAAACCACATGACCCCAAGACACTGCAACCATCATAAATACATCTGGTGCTAAGCACACAAATTTTGATCACATAACTGAGAGGACTGGCAATCAGTGGCTTTTTTTCAGTACCATTATAAACTTGCTATACAGATGACTTACTCTGTGGAAAAAAATGCTGTGTGGGTAAGACCCCCCTAATACCCTTCGCGGTGTGTGTGTGTGTGTGTGTGTGTTCCAGTATAACTCTGGAACACCTGGGCCGCTGAAATTAAAAGGAATGAATTATATCTATAGCGTCAAATCACAGTACTTTTGACAGTGATAGTGTGCATTTTGGATTCAAGTTCTGTTAAGATACAGCCTGTTGTGCCTTAAAATGGCATGGCTTCTACTGTACAGCACAGTGGAGTTGCCATGGTAACGGCTTCATAGTACTCCACAAGGGGACTCCCTCTGGTAAGGGGGATTGGTTCTTAAAAAAAAACACCACTGTACTTATACTTTTAAAACCCTGTAAATAAAATTACTTTGATTTGACACTATAGATATAATTCATTCCTTTTCCTGTCTAATACAGGATTGGGATAAATAAATACCTGGGCAATGCCGGGTTATCACAATATAAATATAAATATAAATATAAATATAAATATAAATATAAATATAAAATGCAGCATCACAGGTGGTGATGGAATTGCTACATCTCCCAATGTAATCCTAGGAATGCCAACATTTGTTACACTGAAAGTTTACAAGATGATAAAAATGTCAAAAGAGCTTGGTATTTTCGCCTGAAGTCGTCTGAGCTAGGACAATCTTTGGACAAATTAGCCATAACAAAACAAAAAAAAAGAAAGAAAAGAAAATTCCCTGACCAAAGAATGAATCATAGGGTCTGGAATAATACTGATTTACTCATACAAAATAGGGAAAAATTGGAATCCTAGGATCCTGACTGCAATCCTGTACTTTGCCCTGAATTTTTTTCCTCACTCCGGAAAGATTGTGGGCTAGTTAAAAAAGCCTTGTATGTTTATAAATTAGTATATTAATATATAGTATATATATAAAAGAGAATGGAACCACATGTACAGATATGTAGATGTAAAGGGAAAAATGGATATATAACGGATGTATACCGACACGGAAATGTTGCAAAGAGGAAAATTGTTAAAAACTTTTTAAAATTGCTCAATAACAATTTACTTTTTTTTTAAAAAAGCCTTGCGTTGACTCTGACCTTGTTTTTCTGGCCTCCACCCTTCTGTTCTTCTGATTTTGGACCCTGTTTAGATGAAGAAAAAGTAGTTAAAGACCTCAGTTAAAAGTCAAAAAACTCAGAATACCTACAAAGCATCTGCTTAGATTTGGTCTGTCCCAGTGGTGAAATCCAATTTTTTTTACTACCGGTTCTGTGGGCGTGGCTTGGTGGCCGTGGTGTGGCTTGGTGGCCGTGGCTTGGTGCCGTGGCAGGGGGAGGCTACTGCAAAATCCCCATTCCCACCCCACTCCTGGGGGAAGGATATTGCAAAATCCCCATTCCCTCCGCACTCCTGAGGGAAGGATATTGCAAAATCTCCATTCCCACCCCACTCTGGGGCCAGCCAGAGGTGGTATTTGCCGGTTCTCTGAACTACTCAAAATTTCCGCTACCAGTTCTCCAGACCTGCTGGATTTCACCCCTGATTTGGGGGCATCTTCCATGTCCCCAGCAGGAGCCTAGAGCAAAGGAAGGGAGCTCAATCCTGCCCCACACCAGCACACGGGACTCAAACGTGGCCTAGCCAGCATTCCTAACCACGCAAGCCACCGTGTTCCTGGTCAGGTAAATGAAAGTGGGAAAAGGCTGTCCTTCAAACAACCTGACCCCACGTGATCTTAAGTCTTGCAGAAGCACAAGAACTTATTAAAGCAAAACTTCAAACAACACTTATTTGCTATTTTCTCCAGGTGACAAAAGCTTAACACATTTGACACGCCTTGAGGCTATCACTGAACAGTGTTGGAATGGGAGGGTGACGGGAGAGAGAAATATGACATACCACCGAATCAGTGAAGCTGAGGGCTTGCTTTCCTCTGCTGTCACCTGACCAAACCAACGGTGGATATTTAAGGCATGCTGTATTTTTAGGCAGTGATCAGGCCTCAAGGATAGCATATGTTGATCATGTTCTGACCTAGGCTTCCCCAAACCACGAAGCAGACTCCTTGTCCAAACAAAAACCCCTTTTTATTAAGTTACTGTGAATTCTTCTCATTCACATCCAGCAAAGTCTTTCAAGGGTGAATTTACAGTCACAGACTTTATCTGGCTTGGGGAGCTGCCAGGCCCATATCTTCAAAACTTTGCAGGGAGTCACAACAACAACAACAACAACAACAACAACAACAACAACAACAACAATAATTTTATTTCTATACCGCCCTTCTCCCGAAGGACTCAGGGCGGTGTACAGCCAATTTAAAAACCAATTAAGTGAACGAATTGTCTCCTGCAAACTCCACTCCCCTTTCGCTCCTCTTTTATTCCTTCTGGGAGGGGCCATTCATCATCCACCTGTGGCTTTACTCCTAAATCGACCCTTGTTCTTTAACTGTTCCCTTCCTCTGGCAACTCTGCGCATGCACACAGTGGGAACAGGCTCCAGCTGTTTGTCTGCCTCACTGATGTCTGACTCCGAAGGGAACTGATAACTGGCATACGGCCCTGGCCCCCTCTCTGCCTCTGACACAGAGCCCTCATCAGAGCATTCCCCAGACTCCAGGACTGGTCCATGTTCCTCCCCAACCTCCTCACTGTCTGAATCTGCTGCCAGCTCTGCTGGCTGCTAGCAGGCCACAACAGATTGCCTCAATTCTCCGAAACATCTAATTCCCCTTTCTCAGTGAAAGAGTAAGAAGCTAGTTAGAACAGGGGTCCCCAACTGCTGGACCATGGCCCACTACCGAGCCGTGGTCTGTTCAAAACCAGGGCATGGAAGAGATGGGCAAACACACATGCCTGAAGCTCCACTTGCATGAGCGGTGGGCAACCATGCATGCATGGGCATGAAGCTCCATTCATACAAAGTGGAACTTCACCTGTGAGCACAAGTGCCCTCGACTCAAGTGCCCTTTGCTTGTGCATGTGGAACTTCGCATGCAAGTGCAAATACCTTCTGCTCATGCGTGAAGCTCCATTCATGCGAGTGGAGGGTGTGCACGCATGCCACTACCACAAGTGGAACTGTGCATGTGCGTGTGCACCTGCCACTCACACACACACACACACAGAGGGGTGGGCTTCAAAAATTTTAGCAAGGGGTTCTCTGCCCAGTTGCTGGGTGGGCGTGGCCATGGTGAGTGTGGCCTAGTCGGTCTCCTGCACAACGACGGGGGGGTGGGGCGCTTTTGCCCTCCCCGGGCTCCGGAGGCTTTTCTTGAGCCTCTGGTAGGGTGAAAACGGCCTCCCCAGGCTCCGGTGGCCCTCTGGAGCCCAGAAATGGGCCCGTTTCCGGCCTTCCTGAACTACCGGTAGGACCGTTTTCCCCCCTCCCCGAGCCTCCGCACGCACCCTGCACTTACCTGCATTCAAAATGGGCCGCGTGGAGACTCCTGGGAGGGCGGGATGGGCGGGGCCATCCAAGAGTAGGATTTGGGGGTTCTCCGAACTGCACAGAATCTTAGCTAGAGATTCTCCCGAACCCCTGCGAACCCCCAGCAGCCCACCCCTGCACACACACCACTAAGCTAGAAAGGTTGGGGACCGCTGAGTTAGAAGACAAATGCTGTTTCACTTACCTGCATTTTTTCAAGCATTTCAAAGAATTCTGCAGACTGGGGAGTGGGGAGAGAGAGAGAAAGACAGAGAGAGAAAAATGAATGTCAGCACAAAATGACCACTCCAAACATATAAACATATAAACATATAAAGTTTTACATTTTTTTTCACTCAAAAGTCTAATCCGTGGATATGAAAACCATTGATATAAAGATCCTGGATTCTATTCATGATCTGAAAAATGCTGATAGTTCTCTGGGCAGGCAAGCATAGGTAGTCCTCAACTTACCACCGTTAATTTAGCGACCATTTGAAGTTACAACGGCCCTGAAAAAGTGACCTATGACCGGTTTTCGCACTTACGACCATTGCAGCGTCCCCATGGTCATGCGATCAAAATTCAGGGGCGTGGCAACACAGTCTCCTGTGATCTTGCGATCTCCATTTGAAATCTTTCCATCCAGCTTCCAACGAGCAAAAAATCAATGGGGAAGCCAGATTCCCTTAACAACTGCATGTTTCGCTTAACAGCTGCAGCGATTCGCTTAACAACCGTGGGAAAGGAGGTTGTAAAATTGGGCACAACTCACGTTATTACAGCCATCTTGCTTAGCAATGGAAATTCTGGTCTCAACTGTGGTTGTAAAGTCGAGGACTACCGCCGCATAATTGAGTCAATCAAAGTTTTCATAGTGATATATACCATGGTTTTATTGAAACGATACCTACTTGACTGTCCATCCCAGCTCTGCAAATACTAAGCTCAAAGACCACGGAGAGGGACCACCTGAGGGACTGTCTCTTGTCGGTCACATCTACCCATCCGACTAGAGCGGGGAGGCAAGGAATGTTGCAGGTCCCGTTCCCTAAGGAGATACATCTGGTGGGACCCAGAAGAAGGGCCTTCTCCGTGGTGGCTCCTTCTCTCTGGAACATCATCCTTCCAGAAATGAGATGGGCCCCCACTCTAACACTCTTTCGGAAGGCCCTGAAGATATGGTTCTGCCAGCAGGCCTGGGGAACCAAAAGCAGGATGGAGCCCATTAAATGGTTGGTATGAATGTGTGTTGTCACCAGGGTGGGAGTGTTATTATTTTATTATTTTAATTATTTTTTATTTCTTTTATATTGTGCTTTTAATGTCCTTTTAAGCCACGTGGCAGCAATATAAATTTTCTAAACAAATAAAATAAATAAATAAACGTGTTAGTTGGTTGGTTGGTTGGTTGATTGATTTGGCAGCTAATGTTCAGAGAACTAGGCTTGTACTGCATGGTTAGAATAGAATGAATGAGCTGGAAGGGACATTGGAGGTCTTCTAGTCCAGCCCCCTGCTTAAGCAGGAAAACCTATATTATTATTATTTTTTAATTTGATTTATATGCCGCCCTTCTCCGGAGAGTCAGGGCAGCTTACAACGTGCTAAGATAAGTGACTGCCTAGTCCAGGGGTCTGCAACCTTAAACACTCAAAGAGCCATTTGGACCCATTTCCCACAGAAAAGAAAACACCGGGAGCCACAAAACCCTTCCCGTGCCTGACTATTTCTTGAGCGGCCACAAAACTAGCATATGTAGTTGAATTAAATGTTCTGTTTTCTTCTGAAACTTTTCTTTTCTTGGATTTATCCATGGTTGGCCTACCAGGGGTTGAAAAGCTCAATAAATCACATGCTGACAGGTGTAGCACATTGGCAGTTGTGATGCATATTTTGAGTGACAGGGAGTCACAGCAGAGGGGTGAAAAAGCCGCATGCGGCTCCAGAGCCGCAGGTTGCTGACCCCTGGCCTAGTCTCTTCTTAAAAACCTCTAGTGATGGAGTACCTATGATTTCTGGTGGCAAGCTGTTCCACTGGTTAATTGTCCTCACTATTAGGAAGTTTCTCCTTAATTCCAGGTTGCTTCTCTCTTTGATTATTTTCCAACCATTGTTTTTTGTCCTGCCGTCTGGTGCTTTGGAGAATAATTTGACCCCCTCTTCTTTGTGGCAGCCCCTCAAATACATTTTGACATTTCTTAAGATGTTATTGGTAACACTCTCTCACAAAACTTTGAATAGTTTTTATCCCACTATAATTGCACTCAACAATGAACTAAAGGGCCACCATCAGTGAGCTGTTGGACAGCATTATTTGGTCTGTTGTGTGGATGTTTGGGTGGTTTAGGGGTGGGGAATTGGTGGTGGGTGGGAGTCAGGGGTTCTAATTTTTTTTATTACTGGTTCTGTGGGCGTGGCTTATTTTGTGGGCGTGGCTAGATGGTCATGTGACATTTAGGATTTAGCAGAGGTACTAGTCTATCAGGCTTTTAACTGCTTGCAGAGCTGTACCAATCTACCCATTTATTTTTTGCAGGCACTGATCTACTCATGTATTTTTGCAGGCACTGATCTATTCATGTATTTTTGCAGGCACCGGTCTACTCATTTGTTTTCTTTTAACACTGATCAGCTGTAGGGCGGCCCTTTGAAGCCCCGCGACAAGAGTTTAAACAGTTTTTTTCCCTCTAACCATCAGCTGGGACTCAGGAGGCAGCAATAGATTGGGGATGGGGCCAAATAAAAGGTAAGAATAGCGCGGGGGGGGGAGGCAGGACCAGTTCGGTGACATCATATCGTCACCGCTACTGGCTCGGGAGAACCGGGCCGAACCGGGAGAAACCCACCACTGGTGGGAGTGTGTTTGGGGATTGTTATGTGTGTTGCACTTGGTCTTTGGATATTAAGTGAATTTCGTTGTATGGGTATACTGTGTATACGTACAATGACAATAAAGTTATTATTATTGAAGCTTGAGTAAAAGTTCATCCCAGCTATGAGGATGACACCAATATTTATTCATCTGAAATGTTTTACATCCCATAGTTCCTTTCCTGAAAAATAGGTAAAGTTTCTGATAAAATTGGGTAAAATCTTCCTCCGAGCAATCTTGACCTTATGAAGGCATCCATGTAGATTCTTCTCACACAGGTACAAAAGTGGATTACCACTGCTTGTTTTCACACATAATGTACAGGTTATCCTCGGCTTACAACCATAATTGAGCCCCAAAATTTCGGTTGTTAAGCGAGACATTTGTTAAGTGAGTTTTTCCCCATTTTGCGACCTTCCTTGCCACAGTTGTTAAAATAAATCACTGCAGTTAATAAGTCAGTAAGCCGGCAGTTAAGTGAACCATCAAAGTCGCCATTGTCTTTGCTTAGCAAAAGATTGAAAAAAAAGGGGGGGGTCGTATGATCTTGGGAGACAGCAGTGGTCATAAGTATGAGACAGTTGCCAAGTGTCTGAATTTTGATTACATGACTATGGAGATGTCACAAAGGTTGTAACTGTGAAAAAGGGTCATAAGTCACTTTTTTCAGTGCCACTGTAACTTTGGTCACTAAACAAACTGTTGTAAGTCAAGGACTACCTGTCTAACCGTGGTATTTTCCAGGTAGACTCCCATCTGAATTCTTGCCAGACTTGACCCGACTTAGCTTCCAACCCCAGACAAGGTCAGCCAGCTTGTAAAAACAGTGTTGTACATCCATCCCAAGAAAAACATTGTTACATAAGGGGAAATGGCAACAAGAAAAGCCATCAATAAATCAGTTCTAAAGCAATTACAACATAAACAATTACAAAATGCAATAAAAGGGAACAGAAGACAATGTAACTAGAAGGATTATATGTAATTATAGAAGGCAGCAATTTTTTTAAAGGAGGAATTTCAGTCTTAAGTGCCAAAGGCTTTTTCTAAACAGGAAGATGAAACTGAGAAGTTTGGGACTCCGCAGAGAGTTCTACCCACCCCTGCCGGCTCTATCTCCGTTTCCTCATGGAAACGGAGTTTTTTCGAGCCACCATTCCGTTGTGAAGGCGGCTCTGACAGGCGATGGAAGCTGACGATCCCAAAGGAACGTCTGGCAGCGACAAACAGCAAACCGGAAGTCATGAGGGACTGTCTCTTGTCGGTCACATCTACCCATCCGACTAGAGCAGGGAGGCAAGGAATGTTGCAGGTCCCGTTCCCTAAGGAGATACATCTGGTGGGACCCAGAAGAAGAGCCTTCTCCGTGGTGGCTCCTTCTCTCTGGAACATCATCCTTTCAGAAATGAGATGGGCCCCCACTCTAACACTCTTTCGGAAGGCCCTGAAGATATGGTTCTGCCAGCAGGCCTGGGGAACCAAAAGCGGGATGGAGCCCATTAAATGGTTGGTATGAATGTGTGTTGTCACCAGGGTGGGGGTGTTATTATTTTATTATTTTTATTATTTTGTATTTCTTTTATATTGTGCTTTTAATGTCCTTTTAAGCCACGTGGCAGCAATGTAAATTTTCTAAACAAATAAAATAAATAAATAAACGTGTTAGTTGGTTGGTTGGTTGATTGATTGATTTGGCAGCTAATGTTCAGAGAACTATGCTTGTACTGCATGGTTAGAATAGAATGAATGAGCTGGAAGGGACATTGGAGGTCTTCTAGTCCAGCCCCTGCTTAAGCAGGAAAACCTATATTATTTCAGATAAGTGACTGCCTAGTCCAGGGGTCTGCAACCTTAAACACTCAAAGAGCCATTTGGACCGTTTCCCACAGAAAAGAAAACACTGGGAGCCACAAAGCCCTTCCCGTGCCTGACTATTTCTTGAGGGGCCACAAAACTAGCATATGTAGTTGAATTAAATGTTCTGTTTTCTTCTGAAACTTTTCTTTTCTTAGTTTTATCCATGGTTGGCCTACCAGGGGCTGAAAAGCTCAATAAATCATGTGCTGACAGGTGTAGCACATTGGCAGTTGTGATGCATATTTTGAGTGACAGGGAGTCACAGCAGAGGGGTGAAAAAGCCGCATGCGGCTCCAGAGCCGCAGGTTGCTGACCCCTGGCCTAGTCTCTTCTTAAAAACCTCTAGTGATGGAGTACCCACGATTTCTGGTGGCAAGCTGTTCCACTGGTTAATTGTCCTCACTATTAGGAAGTTTCTCCTTAATTCCAGGTTGCTTCTCTCTTTGGAGAATAATTTGACCCCCTCTTCTTTGTGGCAGCCCCTCAAATACATTTTGACATTTCTTAAG